AGTGTGGCAGAGGGCTAAATTGAGCAGGCTTCAGATTGATATGGTTTAAGAGGCCAGGTGTGTGCTGATAAGAGAGAGTAGCAACATAACTTGTTAAAGTGAACATGGCTGCTTTATTTCAGTATCTTATATGTGTGACTGGAGAATATGCATAAAGATCAGAATGTTCTCTAAGTCATAATAACCTCTTTTTGGCTGTTTATTTTAGAAGAGACCCCCACCTCCTTTTCCTTCTCATAAACCCATTCCCTACCTCCAGCTCACTCATGAAGGGCGATCCCCCTACACTCCACCTACCCATCCCCAACTCATCCTCACCATCAGACACCAGCTGCTGGTAGGCTGCACTCAGTGAACTCCCTCCAGCTCTTTCCTGGGCCTGGCTAATCACTGGTGCTCACCAGCAACTGCAACCACCACACCTGCCCCCACTCTCACTGGTGGGACCGTCCCATCTGGGACCCAATGATTTGGGGTGTCTTCTTACAGCTCGAAAGAGGCTCAAGGTGCAATGAGGGGGAGGAGGGAGGGGAAATAAGACATCAGGGGCCGTGGAAGAAGGGCTATCACTAATGGGTTTGATGTGTTCGTACTGTGGGAACCATGGATGGAACAGAATAACGATAGAGGACCAATTAATGATGATGTATTTCATTAAAAATCTTATCTCAGTGTTGTAACAACTACAACAAACACCATTCTGGGTTTTTGTTGGGAAAAAGCCTTTGAATAGAAGAACATTGGATGCTGATTGCAGTTTGTGCGTAGATAAGCAATCACTATTAGCTGGGACCAGATGGCAGGCTGATAAGGCACATTGCTTAGCTGCTCTCATATCTACGCTTCTCATTAGGAAGCACATTCACACACAAGCTTTATTCTCAGACTCTGTCAGATATCAGCCTGGTTGTGTTCTCCAAAAAAAAGAAAAAATGATGTCATCATCACACAACAAAGCACTGGAAAAGCTCAAACAAACCCTGACCTTTAATGTAAAAAATAAAACACAGTGCTGTGGCTAATTTTGGTAGCAACACAGCTCAATCTGCATTGAAATAAATCTAATTAGCATTTTAGCTGGTCATTTACATGGGTTTAGAAAATAATTTAGCGGATTTTAATGATTTAAGTTTACATATTTTAATAATGTAAATTTTTGTGCCCATAGTGCTCGGTTTAAAAATGAAACTGTCACTCATTATCTTCCTGCTAAACAAATCTACCAGTTGGACACATAGGAATAATATTAACAATTGCAATCTATAACATATTTATTTTCTTAATTATTAATTAATGCTTTGATCTGAGCTTGAAATACATTTCAAGTCCCTCCTACCGAACCTCCTTGATCCCCTCCCTTCCCTCTCCCTTAACAGCCAGCTATAGGATTCACAAAAAGTCTAGTCCTTCAATCTGCACAGAAATAGACTTTCCCAGCAGCTATGCAGGCCTGGGGCCGCTGCTGATGGCCATATACGAGGCTGATCATATGGTGGGGTTGCTTGCCAGTCGATGGAGATCCGTCTCCCCCAGACAAGGGCTGACATAGAAAACTATATTTAGAAGCTGGCATCTGGTAATGTGACGCTGCTGTAGACGAATGCCTGTGAACTGAATGCTGATTGGCAGGAGCTCTGGTAAATGTAGTCCTTTTATGTTTAGGGACAAAAGTGCCTAAATCCAATTCATAAAAAAGTTATTAAACTCTTCACTCACTATATGAAAATAATATAACTAAACATTTCTAAGTTAAAGGTATCTAGATAATCGAATGTAGATATACAATATAACTTTGTCGTTATTATAGTATCGTTTCATAACATTTTGATCCTTGTTTTAAAGTGCAGCTTTAAATAATTTTAATACTAATCAGGCTCTGTCATCTCATTGGTAAACCTGCACTCTACGTTCACTACAGGTAAATATTTCATAACAGTAGTTGTATTAGCATGTTTAATATAAAAAGATAATAAAAAATGCTTGAATGTGTAATTCTATACCTAAAATAGAATGAAATCCTAAATCAATTAAGAATTAACCAATAAAAAATATTTATTGTTGTCAAAATTATTTGGTTGAAATATATTTTTTTTCTGTAAATATGATTCTTTTAGTTCTGTGCTGCCGAAAGTTATTTTTCTCTGTTAGCGTGGGGCGGCTCTAGACCATATCTGTTAGGGGGGCCAGGGTAGAACCAGCATGTTTTTTTATGTGTCATGATTTTACTAAAATGCTGAAGACCAAACAGGGAGACCAGGAGAAAAGGTTTAACAGGTTTTATTGAAGAGATAATGCAGAGAGAAGTGTTGCTCTGAACACTGCTCAACCGGAACTGAAAAGTGAGGGGAAGACACAGCGGTTAGTTCAGGCTCAGTGGGAAATTTGATTCGTGAACTCAAGAAGAGGATCTGGTTGCTGACTCACGTTTCCAGAGAAGTTGTTGAATCTTTGACTCCAGTCTGTATGCTGTTGTTCCAGTGTTTGTCTGATTCGGTGGAGGGCGGAACAGGGTTTACCCAGAATGCAGTTGCTTATAGGTGAAAGGAGAAGCTGACTACCAGTCAGATTTCCTGCGGCACTTGAACAGATCGTAGTGGAGATGAATCCCTTTCTCAGTGTGAAGCTCAAACGATCTCTTGGGGAAAGTGGATCCAAACTAGAGACTGACACGGGAGTGGATTTTCACTCCTGTCCCGTCCCACTCCCACAGAGAAAAATTTTGTCCCGTCCCGGGCCAGAGTAGATTGTGTCCTGTCCCGTCCCACTCCTGGTGAAATTACTCCCATTCAGAATGACTCCCGCTCCTGCACCACTCCCATTCTTGTTGTTTTCAATAAGATTTCACTTTTTCAAACTTTTCGAAGTCGAATTCGCCACTAACTGTTGGTCCCTCCATTGTTGTTTTTTAAGCGGGTGAACAACTCAGAGCGGAAGCACTGTTGGTTTTTGGGTCGTGTAGTTTATTTGACTCGCATTATAGTGTAGGCTCCAAGGAAAAAAACTACAAAATGGCGATGCCAGTACTGGATTTTTTTTCTTTCTATTTTATTTTTTGGCATCGATCCTAGTTTTTTTTAAGTTACTATTGGTTTGCTCCCGCTCCCGTCTGCTCCCGATAATGTTTAATCCTGTACGGTCCCAATCACGTGATCGTTACTAATACTGCCTCCCATCCCACGGGAATGGGAGGCAGGCCATGGGATTCCCGAAAAAATGTCAGTCTCTAGTACAAACCTCCTGTTTGTAACCCCAGCTCAGCTTGAAGCTCTGTTGATCCTTCCAGGGAGAGAAGGTCCGAGAAATCCAGTTTGCAGGACAACTTCCTGCCGAGAGGCAAAGACAAAAACAATGTTAAAACTCAGGTTGACAAAACTCAGTTTGACTCAGCAAAACTCAGCTTGGCTAGAGTACCCAAAACTGGCAAACACTCTGGCGTCAACATAGTGGCACTCAGCAGCTTAAGAGCACTCCGTTAACGAGGAAACCATCAGCAGGTGTGTGAGGAGGCGGACCAGAACCAGGTGCCTCCGGGTGGAGGAAGGGAGACAAACACAGAACACAAACAGAAAGACAGGAGTCCTGACATAATGGGGGCGTAGAAAAACATTGAACAAAAAACAGAGCAATAGTTCAGCATTTAAGATATATTAAGAGAGCTGCAAAACCAATGTGTTACTGGTGGCTCTGCACTGAATGAAGTGACATTTCCATTTAGTTAAATTAAAATTAAATGTTCTTCTAACAAAAAATTTGGATTATTGGCTTAAAAAAGTTACTTCTTACCTGAAATTAGAAATTCCCTACCATAAAAAAGCAACTGCAATGATCAGTCACTAAATACTAAATGATAAAATAGAGCTATTTTCTGGAATATTGTTTTGATGTAAATTCATAATTCAAGAATATTACATATTTTTGAGTTATTGTAGATGAAAATCATCAATTTTAATGAAATCTGAATTATGTTTTTGTTGGGTTCAAAATAACATTTGGAAGATTAAAATTTTGATTATATCTGCATTTGACAGAATCTAAAACCTTTTTATCATGATTACTTTTATCATTACATTTTATTTTACTTCTTTTTCTCTTTGTATTATTTCTTATCACAGGGGTCATAACAGGGGGCGAGGACCATTTCTACAGGGGCACAGGCCCCAGTTGCCCCCTGTAGAACCGCCCATGCTATAAGTATTACCCATCAAAGACAGTTTGTAGGGATAACAATTGTGATTTTCTTTTATAAACAGTTTTTATAAACTGTTTGCGCTTCAGGTAATTAATATTCTATTTTAATGCCAGTCTCCTGTTCTTCTACATCTGCTGCCTACCTGCTCATTTATCACCAGTCCCTACCTCATCCTCCTCTCTTCACTTATTTCTTTCTCTCTTTTTTTGTCATCAAAACATATTTCTTTTTTTATTGCTCTCCTGCTGCCCCCTCTCTGCATTTGATTCCCAATCAACCATCACCAAAACAGGGCCATGTTTCATCCTTAGTGGTACTTTTGTGAATGTTATATATATATATATATATATATATATATATATATATATATATATATATATATATATATATATATATATATATATATATATATATATATATATATATATATATATATATATATATATATAGATAGATAGATAGATAGATAGATAGATAGATAGATAGATAGATAGATAGATAGATAGATAGATAGATAGATAGATAGATAGATAGATAGATAGATAGATAGATATATAGATGTAATTGATGCAGCTATATATTTTTATACACATTCAAACTAATAAAGGGTTAATTTAGCTTATTTTTCTATATATATTGTGGTACTTGTGGTGCTTAAACCTTTTAATCTGTGTTAATCAAGCATAAACTAAAGCTGCTGGTGCCTCGCCCTGCTGTAGGGCTGTAGTGAGGGTGTGTAGGCCTACTGCACTTTATGAATAATGAAAAAGTGACGTAAACAATGCGGCTCTCTTTGCGGCTCCAGGCTCGAGGCGGGCGCAAGGAGGCGTGATGCGGCCGTGACGTGGGTTGAGTCGGGGATCTTTAATCCTCTGCCGCAGCAGCCCAGCCGGTCACCGGAGGAGGGGGGCAGCGAGGGTTCGGACAGGAATGGGTCGATCAGGAAGGGTCAGCAGGCCGAAACGGTTCGGTGTTTAGGTGGATGAGTCCGCCGAGAGGAGCGGAGATCACGACAGAACGAGGCGAGGATTTCTGCCTAGGCCTGACCCCCTCCAGCCAATCCGCTCCCCATGAAAGGACCACACACAGATAAACGGCTGCTTTAATACATCTATATATTCATTTTGAACGCATTTTTATTAGTATTAGTAGATTAGTCTGCGTAGGGATCCTGCGCCTCGCCCTGCCGACACTTTCCTGTGCGTAATTCCTTCCTCGGTTCGCCCTTCAGAAGCGTCGCCGCGTCCCGTTTTTCCTGTCAGCTGCTGTGCATCAGCACAACATGCAGGATGAGCCTGTGGGGGTGACAGCCGCGCACTTACCCCCATCAGCCGAAGAGGACGAGCGCAGCAGCAGCGGCGGCAAATCCGCAAAGCAGACGGAGAGCCAGCGGAGCTCCTTCTCCTCGGATTACAGCCACCTAACCCAGAAGATCGCTTTCCCCGAACATTTCTGCCCGCCGCAGTCCCTCTGTGACCTTCAGCACTACCGAGGCGTCCATCAGCAGTTAGAGTCGCCCCCACCGCAGACGCGTTTCAGTCACCTGCAGCCTTTCTCCGGCGCTGCTGCTGCTGCTGAAGCCGATGCTGTGACGCCATCGCCTTCCTCTGTGAACCTGAACAAGCTCCAGATGGACTCCCCCATCGCCCACCATTTAAATAACGGCAATGGCAGCAGCAGCAGCACCGGCAGTATGCTGTCCGGGGGGCTGAGCGCCGCTTTCCCAAACCTCCCCGGACAGGAGGTGCAGAGCGCCAGCGGCGGCCCTTCCTCGCCCTCCCTCCCCGGGTTTGGCACCCCTTGGTCCGTGCAGACCAGCTCCTCTCCGCCTCCTACAGCCAACTCCATCAACCCCATCCACGCCATCGGACAGATTCCCAGCGCGGACTCTGAGAACAGCTTCTACCCGGGCATCCCTTCATCCATCAATCCGGCCTTCTTCCAGAGCTTTTCCCCGGTGTCGGCTAATCCGTGCGCCGGGATTAACGTGCAGGGCTTCAGCGGGCCCTTCTCGCCTCAGATGAACGTTCCTCAGCAGCCGCAGAGCCGCAGGTCACCGGCCAGTCCCCAGATGCACCCCCACCAGGGCGCCTTTCTGCAGCAGAGGAACAATTACAACCAACACCAGGTGAGCTGCTGGACAGCATCCATTCACATAACATTGGCATGAACCAATAGGATGTGGTTACATTTAGGCCTAATGTTAAATATTTACTAATATTCTGGCTTAGGTTATGGGTTACACCTACTGACAGTACAACGCCTTATAGATAAAAAAAATATGTACATGTTATAATGTTTGCAGAATCCACAGCCAGGCTCTCTGGGGGATAAACATTTCTTTTCATAATGCATTATGCAAGGGTTGGAGTTTCTACCCCCAAGGCATGCAGATAGAGTAGGGAACACTGTAACAAGTGAGCATCTCTGAATCTTCCTGTTGTTCTCTCCTGGAAGCTGGCAGTGGGATGCAGTCACATGGCGTCGAACCATCCCTGTCTTGTGGCTCACTCACTGGGAATACAAAGGCCTGCAGGGTTGTGTGTCCTAAATGGATGCTTATTTGGGTGGAATGAAAACATCCAGTGTGTTGCTGGCGTGGCACACCCTTAGGAGGAACAGCAGAGGCTTACACCAAGAGCCCTGCTCTGCAGGAGGAAGGTTTACAAGCTGGTAGCCTTCAGCTTCAGGTTTCTCATGTGATTTGCACACTGGGTGTGAGCAGGGGAGCGTGTGTGAGTGGGACTAGGTGTGACTGGTTGTGCTTTTGCATTGTTGTTATTTCCTCGCCCTTTAACCCTTTTCCTTCAGTCCATTGTAAATATATTTGCATGAAAGCAACAAAGACAATTGCAGGATTGTTCTCTGTCACTCCACCCAAAATCAAATAGTTATCCAAAAAAAAAAAAAAACACATTACCCCGCTGAGAACAGGAGCCATGTTTATGAGCGATTTGGTAAAAAGTCGTCTGCCTTCTATTCAGTGATGTCGCTGGGATCTTCAAACTCTGATTTAACTTCCTTCTGAACTGAGACAAACTGCAATATTCCATTATTCTCATATCCTATTGATCTTATGACTCCCCATCTGGCTTTATTCAAAGTCTACACCCATTAGACACATGTGGCCCTTTTTTCAAAGGCAGATTTTAGCAAAAGTCTATCCTGCTGATATAGATTTTAGATTATTCTAATTTAACTTGAAATACAAATAAAATAAAGAGCAATGCTATTTGGATTGAATTAAACTATTTTCTCCTCAACATTATATAAAGATATTAGGGGAGCACTGATCACAGGTTTTTTGGCCGATCCTGATCCGATACTGATTTATTTTTATGACTGCCCTGTCAGTCGTCATAAGATCACAAGACATCTTCAATATTTCCATCTTAACTTGTTGAAAACACATCAATCATTTCCTATGAATTTATAAAAACTGAAATAACAGCTCTCAAATATAAATTCAAGTTTATGGCATCAACAGTTGGTGTTTTTCAGACCTTTACAGAGGTTGATCAGATTGGTGAAGGAGGTCGGTTTTACTTCCAAAATATCTAAAAATCCCCAAATTAAGAAAACTGAGGTGAATCTATTGATGCACCCTTAAAGGACACAGTAATGACAGTAAGATTAGATCACAGGCCTAATGTATATCCTTCACAATACTGAAACTATAGATATAAAGCAGATAGCTATGAAGAAAATAACCATTTAGAAAGAAAGCTAGAATACCTAGAATATGATTTATACTCCAGATTTTTTATCAAAGCACATCAGATAATATTAGTTCATTATGTTATAAGATTATCTAAGAATTGAAAAAGCTACAAAAGCTCCAATCCAACACCCGGTACCTGGATCAGGTATCACTTCTGATTGTGACTAATCAGCTGGATTGGATGAATAATGCCGATCCAGCATTCCAATCAATTATTTTCCTTTTTTATTCACATCACACACAGCAATACAGTTACAGCGATCTGTAGCAACATACATACATTTTTATATGACATTTCTAATTATGTATTTGCAGTACACTTTACATAGAAGTGTTATTTATTCCCTTTTTTGCTGCTAATGTGTACTCCATCTGTTAATAAATACTATGACGTAGATTTATATCTTTTCTCTTTTTTTTTAACGTTAATCTCAAGCCTGATGCGTTCAGTCACATGGCAAGATATACGGTTTATTCACTCAACAGTAGCATCAGAGCAGAGCAGGAATAAATGGTTTGGTGCGTATCTATAAAAAACTGATTATTCGCTTGATACATGAGAAGGAAAAACGGTCAAATCTAATGATCTAAGATCATTTATTCATTTATTTATAGAGAGAAATATCTTATTTCTATCAGATTAAATCCTGGTATCTTCTTCTTAATGAGACAGTGTGAATGGAATGCTGACATCCCTGCATGGGAAATTAATTTTCTTTCTTTGAACGCTCTTTTAAGTTTCTTCCGACTATTTTTAAACATCTTATTAAATAGAAGATATCTAGGCTAGCTTCTTTGATTCTTAAAGAAAAAAGACAAATCAGATAAAGGTGGTTCCTCAGAAAACATTCAGATTTAGCAGCTCAGGAAAACCTAATAATCCTGCATTTGATTTCCACCTGGGATGCCAAAAAGAATCAGTACATGATGCGTAAGCAGGAGACACAAGGTCCAGGTGGAGAGAGTGTGTAAGTTACAGTGGTGGTGTCGCAGGGCACGGGATACTTAGTATTAGTCTTAAAGCTCTAAATCTTCTTATCTAGCCACCCATTACAGGAGCAGATAAAGTTCGACAGAGGCTGACGAGGGGAAACGAGGGATATAGGATTAAATGTAATAACGTAGTTTTATGAGACAGATGCTTATGCACTGTATTTTTATGTGTTTGATCTTTCTAAACCTGTGTTGGCCCTCTTCATGTTGCTCTCACAGCCTATGGTGAAACCATCCCCGTGGGGGAACCATCAGGGGAATGGCTGGGGTTCCGGGGGGATGTCCTGGGGCCGGGACCACCGCAGAGGGAGTGGCATGGGCGTGCCCGGCTCAGTCAGTCACATCTCCCCGCTGAAGAAGCCCTTCTCCAGCAACGTCATCACTCCCCCAAAGTTCCCGCGCTCTGGAGGATCGCTGGGACCCAAGTCCTGGATGGAGGAGAACATGTTTCGCACAGACAGCAACAGCAACACCATGTTGCCCCTGCAGGTAGGTGTTCAGATGACCCGGCAGCTGTCGATCTGTTATTCTAGGACTGCAGCACTGGATTGACTTAATGTTCAGGTCATATACATGCATAGATGCTGATGGCAAACAAACATTAATATGCAGTATGGTACAGCTGCCAGCCTACCGGAGCTGTAAGGAGAGTGTTATTTATAGAAGCAGCCAGGAGGCACATGGTTGGAGGAGATGTTGACAGGACAATAATCAGCTGTTAAGGATGATTGACAAAAGCAGAGACATTTAAGATGTTTGTTATGAGAATTTCACTGTTTACCACAAGTCATGTGGAGGAAACAACAAACATCTGGGGAAGGAGAGGCTCCAATCGGAGGAGGCAAAGTTACAGATTGACTGATACAGGTTTTCTAAGGCCGATTATTTTGACATCAGTATAACCGAAGACTAAAGATTGAGCTGAAGAGATTCTCTTTCCACTCAGACGGTGACCTAATGCAATAAACGAGAACAAGATAGAATGGTCTGGGCCAAAGCTTCATGTGTTAGAATATACAGGCTTAAATTCAACTGGGAATCTATGACAAGACTTGAAAGCTGCTGTCCAGTCTGACTGGGGGGGCAGAATTACTACAACTGAGTGTATTAACTAATGGGAACTGAAGACCAATTAACACATAACTTTTCCGATTAGATTAGGAAAGTATCCCTTTATTGCTTCCTCACACTTTGTGCTACTTTGTGTTGCTCGCTGAAATTAAAGCCTAGTAGCAATTCAATTCAATTCAGTTTATTTATATAGCGCCAAATTCACAACACATGTCATCTCAAGGCACTTTACAGTTCAACCAGATCATACAGTCAAATTGATACAAAGTTTTCTATCTAAGGAAAACCAGTTGATTGCATTGACTCATTGACTCAAATACAATCCCCCACACTAAGCATGCTTGTAGCGACAGTGGAGAGGAAAAACTCCCTTTTAACAGGAAGAAACCTCCAGCAGAACCAGGCTCAGTGTGAGCGGCCATCTGCCGAGGCCGACTGGGGTTCAAGGAGACAGAAGCAGAGATACAAAAAGCAGCTGTAAAAGGCGGCCTCATCCAGGAAACACACAGCCAGGCAGACGAGCTCCAAGGCAGCTCCCATGCCAGAGGACGAAGAGAGCACATCCACAGCAGAGACGTCTGTGGTTGTAACATGATCAAATGTGGAGAGGTTCAAGGGAGAGGAATATATTTGCAAGGCAAAGGGCTAAATCACTGATTCGCATCATTGTTTTGCTGGTTTCTAAGGAATACAGTAAATCAGTTCTCCTAGGACTTTCCAGGTGTAGTTGTGAAGGAATAACAAATAGAAACAAGAGAAAAAATGTATTTTAATAGAACCAGACACCTGAATAATAACAATATTCATCCTCATTACCATTTTGCAAAAAAGCTTGAAGTAAAACCAGTTACAACTAAAATTTGTCAAAGGTGAAGTGGAGGATTTTCTTTTTTCATCTTGATCATCAAATAAGTCGTCCTCCTAATTGTCAATCATTCTGGCAATATGTTTGCGTAACGCCGTCCTACATGCTCGCCCCCTTAGCTATCTTTTTTCTGCGCATGCACACTTTCAGGCGTATATCTGTTGTGAGCTATGGTTTCAAACAGTCATAGAAGCTCACCTTTCTCACCATGGTTTTTTGAAAATGGAGGATGGTCGTAAGAGAAAACATGTCTACGAAGTGTATGAGAATAAAAGAAAGGCCTCAGAAGAGGCAGATATTACGCAGACTGCTTTGCGCAGAGAGCTCTCCTCGCAAAGCATTATGGGATTTGCTGTCAAAGCGGCCCACTGTTGCCATAGTCTGTCACTACCCGACATGGGCGATTAATACCAAAGATGGTACAGGCAGCACAGATACGTGACCAGGGGAGCATAAATTAGTGATCACCTGTCCGAACGGTCAGTTAACCGAGTTCACTATAAACTCCACTATATAGTACCCGCTCTATATAGTGATTGAAGTGATTGAGGGGTTTAGAGGTTAGGGCGGACGTTCGAGCACAGTAAGCTTTTATGAGCTATGAGAACAGCAACTTTTAAACAGAGCGTGCACAAGGAGAAATGGGCTCGTGCACGCTCTCCCACGCGTTTAATAGGCATTCCCTCCCGGAGCGGGTACAGAGTTGTGCATGTGCAGTTTTTTTTAAAGTGAATAGGGCGGTTCTTCTAAAAAAAAATCATAAAAATCCTCTACAATACCTTTATCAACTGCAGTTAACAAATTAAAGAGGAAAACTGACTCTTTTGGAATAACAGTTGTAAGGGAAGTTGCTGCCTGTCATTTAATATTAGTGATATTTACTGACATCCTAATCTTTCCCAAGTTTAATTAAAGGTAACAAAGATGTTTTTGATGCGTTTACGGAACAAAAACAAAGATTTACAGAACATAAAAAAAGTATTTTATTTGAATCACACTTACCTTTTGTATTGTGAGTCATCACTTGTCATGACTATACTAGACTGGGAAGAGTTGTACTAGTTTCACTCAGTTAAGGGAGGCGAGACTGCAACTCGTTTTGGTTTTAAGATACATTTCAGGTATAAGCAAGTGACATTTTCTATTTAAAACATGCAATAAGAGAAAAAAAGCACATTCAAATAGATCAGCTGCATCACACGAATCGACTCCAGTCTTAAACGAATGTAACTGAACTCTCTAATCTGAGCTGTTCTCTCACATACACAGCAATGATAAACTTAACAGCTCAGATGATATTAAGGAGAAACATTATTATCTACACATTATCCAGACTTCCTCAAACTGGAGCTTTCCTCCTTAAATTCTCCCACCAAGGCCTTTAAACAGAAACCATTGATAGAAACCATCACTGATTTTACACAGCTTAGATCTAAACCTGTGTGTTGGAAACTATACCAAAAATACTTGCCGTATACAGGATGGAGTTAATAATCTCTACCTAATGAAGCTTTATCAGAGTTGAGTTTTTACATTTATTAACTGTGTTTTACATGTTTTGATTCACATTAAGTCTGAGCGCAGTAGGGCTGTGGCTCTGACTGATGATATCAGCTGGAATAACGTTACCACTGAGTTGCTATGAGTTTGTATTATTAGTCGCATCGGTGCCAAGAAGAACAACGCTTCCATTCCAGGAAACAGGCTTTGACTTCATGGATAAATTTCCATAAACAGTGTCAGACTCAGAAATTTTTCAGATTCCAAGTCTTTTCCTTCCTTCCTTTCTGTTTAATGTTTGGCAGTCGCTGACGGACCGTTTCTCTGCTGCGGCACCTTCTTACCATCACAAGGGAAGGAGGCTAAAGGGGAGAGTCACCTCTGCTTTCCCTGTCAGAGTTCAGAATAACTGAATAAACAGTTCTGCTGGAAACAATCAGCGATGATCGGTAGCCATCACTGTTTGCAGTTCAGACACTTTAATAGGACTAAAGGGCAGATTTGTTTATTTCTAATGACTGGACGTCACTAAGAAAATCTCACTGAATTGAATCTCATTGAAAATAGCTGATTCTGAGTCTGATCAGCTTGAGATTATCATCAGTTTTTAAGTCTTGCTCCAGATTCTCCACTGAATTCAGGTTGAACGTTAACCAGGTCACTCTAACAAATATTTATGAATGGATCCAATCCATTCCTTTGTTACTCTAGCTTTTTGATTAGGGTTGTTTTCCTGTTGGAAGGTGAACCTCCACCTCAAGTCAAAGGTTTTTATACAGCCTTTGACAGGTTTCCCTTCAGAATGGTTCTGTATCAAACAGTTTCTCTGTCCCTGCTTGAAATAAGGTTAGAGCAATGGAGTCATCAACCTGTCCCATCTGAGCTTTATATGACGGGGATGAACAGTGCACCGTAAGGCATTTAACCCTTCATAGGGCAAGTTACAGTTTCTGATTACAAATGGAGGCCACCCCTGTCCCTCAGTGAGGTCTAGAAGCACAAGATCTATATCCAGCCATTCAGCAAAGATACTGCTACATGGCTGTACATCTTATTTTGGCGTTAAACCAATTAGATGAGCTGTAAATAATAATAGTTTTGTATCGATGCATCAATCCTACAGCTGACGATCCCACGCATCGACACGTCTGCAAGAGTATCGATTCATGTTTTATCCATTTGCTCCTGGATGTAATTCTGACTCCCGTGCTGCGGTGGCACTAAACCTATTTTGCCCTCCTACCTCGCTTCCTTTAGCCACTACCCTCTTTCTGCTTGCACACACACTCGCATAAACACAGAGGCATTATTATTTCTCCCTGAATGAGGTTTTCCTAGGCCTAGGTGGAGTAGAACTTTGCTACTTCTGCTATTTGCTGTTGCAAATAAAATGCATAACGATATTACAGCTTTCATTGATTTATTTTAAATTTGAAACATTATCTAGCCTGTAAGGTTAAAAAACTAAAATATAAAAAATTATTTGAATCGAATCAAATCGTGGTGTATTCTTGAGTATAGAAAATAATCAGATCCTTGGGTCAGGAAATTGATACTGTATCGAATCACCATGATGGATGTGAGTTACACCCCTACTGTAAATTAAGTTGGGGGAAAAAGTGAACAAGTCAAGAGAAAAAGGTAAAAAGCTAATTGAAAAGTTAAAAAGTAAAGTTCAAAAGTTAGTTAGTTAACAATTATATTTACTGTAGGCTAATAAACGAAAACATTTAAGTGCTAGTATCAGCATGAATTCATGCATTTCTTATAGAAGCACTTTTGTTGTTTTTCTTAATATGTATTTGGTCAAGTTGGCGTATCTTGCTATTGCATTGACATTAAGCTTTGCCATCAAAATATCCATATATTTTATAAGGACTAATAAGGACTTGTCCTGGATTCCAATAACAGTATTGGCTGACAGTATTGGGGTGAACAATATATCAGCATCAACATCAGCCAATGTTGTTCTTTATTAAAGATATAGATATTAACAACCATATTATTACCATTCAGTTGCTGTCTTGTTTCCGGAGGGGAGGGGTTGATCATGTGGTGTTTGTTTAGTCATGTGACAGCAATAATGGTGCACTGCGGAGAAGCAATAGCTACGGTTAAATATGCATAAATTCCAATCTAAAGCTTTGTTGATGGGAAATTCCACATCTCTGTTCATATGGACACTGAATAAAATGATCCGATCATGACCTGTGTATACATGTACCAAGCACTGAGTTAGATTAAATAATTTAAGCATGCACAGGACTGTCTAATATTGTGGAAGAACGGAGGGGGGGTCACGCTGATGTTGTACACATGCAGAGAGGCATGGAGATTATTTTGCTCCAAAGAACCGAATGGGCGCATATGGATGCCAAACGAAACTGAGAACCACAAAAGCCATCTCTTATTTACTCTTTCTTTCCAGTTGGACGGAATCAGATTAGAATCTTTTTCAGAGGCCAGTTTTTCAGTGTTTAATGGATTCTAAATATCAGTTCTCCGCCAGAACTGTAGTATTGACATAAGATTTCAGCCCAGGTATCATGTTGGTTATCGTTATAGCGAAAAAAGTTCCTTCATCCATCCATTTTCTTTATCCCTGCTGGGGTCGCAAGGGGTGCTGGTGCCTATCTCCAGCTTTCTACGGGTCGTCAGTCCATCGCAGGGCAACACAGAGACAAACAACCATTCACACTAACACTCACACCTAAGGAGAATTTAGAGAAGCCAGTCAACCTACCAGTCATGTTTTTGGGATATGGGAGGAAGCCGGCATACCCAGAGAGAGCCCACACATGCATACTCCATGCAGAAAGACCCCGGGCCGGAAATCAAACCCAAAACCTTCTTGCTGCAAGGCAGCAATGCTACCTACTGATCCACTGAGCAGCCCAGAAAAACTTCCTATCATTATTAAAATGTTGATTTATCAATTGAATAATAAATTAGGATTATTTATGTTAACAATCTAGAAAAGAAATGGCTTACTTGTTGGAATTTATAGATTTTTTTACTGTGTTTTTGACCATAGAGCGTTAAAAAATGCACAGAATGTGAATAACTGCAGTTATTGCGTACATTTAGTGATAGAAATCCCTCGTATTTATGTAACCAGGATCCTAAAAAAGCCTATGTTAGCCTGTATTGTGGAGGATTTTCCTGATTTTTTTAAAAATTGCTCCACTTTAAAAAAAATTGGGCGTGCGAGAGCATGCACAAGCCCATTTCTTCTGGTGCAAGCTTACTGTGCCCTAACGTCAACCCTAAACCCTAAATCCCTCCATCACTATATAGAGCAGGGACTATATAGTGAACTTCATAGTGAACTCAGTTAACTGACCGTTCGGACAGATGATCACTGCTTTTTGCTCCTTTGGTCACCTAACTCCTCCTCCACTGTGCGGTGCCTGCGCCATCTTTGTTATTAGTCTCTGTAGTATAGTGACAGCGTGCCACTGTCACTATACTACAGCAGTTCACTGTGACAGCAAATCCCATAATACTTTGCGAGAAGAGCTGCAGGATATATCTGCCTCTTCTGAGGCCTTTCTTTTCTTCTCATACACTTCGTCGAAACTTTTTCTCTTTCCATTTACAAAGAACCGCTGTGAGAAAGGCGAGATTCAATGACTGGCTGAAACAATAGCTCACCACAGATATACGCCTGAAAGTCAGAGCATGTGAGCGTAGCGGAGCGTGGAGAGAACATTGGAACGGAACGGAAGAAATATGGTGGAGCGCAGAGTGGTTTTCAATTCAAAAGCCGGAGCGAGGATTTCGCTCCGCTCTAGTTTGCTGCGATGCGCTCACAATGAAACAATGTTGGATCATAAAGTTTGTAAAATAACCTTTATTTGATTTAAGTGTATTTTTTTTACAACAATTAATGATTAAATAGGAAACAGCCCTGGCATAATTACATGAAGGAAAAATGTCAGAAAATACCTTCTCCTGAAAATCTGAGCGAGTGTGGAGAAATTCCGCCGGAGCAACAGGAAAATTAAGGTGAGCGCAGAGCGGATTTTGAGCGGAGCGTTTTGGCGTAACTTTGAGTCCGAATCAGCGAACATACTCCTGAGCAAGGAGCCGGAATTGCACGGTGCTTTGCTCCGTTCACATGCTCTGCTGAAAGTGCGCATGTGCAGAAAAATGTAGCTAACAGGACCAGCCCATTGGACGGCCTTACATAAACTGAAATCGAAATATTTTTTTGTATTTGTGATCATGGGGCCTAATGCAGCTACATCCAGACTGCAAGGAACTAATACAGTTTTTTATTGTCACTTTTAAACTTATCACAATACTACCACAAACTATATTGATAAGATTTCAGTTCTCCAACCCTAGTCTCTAACTAACCTCTTTGTCTTTAACCACACAACCCTGCACCTGCTGAATCTGGTCCGTCATAGAATCTCATTAGAATACATTGATTTTCAGCGTTTGTTATGTACATGTTCTCAGTTTAATGTAAACAAAGGTTTCTTACAGTTAACCGTCGGTTAAAGGTTTACATACAACCTCCTTTGCTTTAATAAATATGTAAAGAATGTAACCTGAGGGCCCTGCACATCTAAACCAACTGCATGCTAAGGATAACAGCCACGTTTGAGAGGCGTCAGAACAGTGTACGTGGCTTCCACGCGCATCACGGTGAGCCGTGAGCTTGCTTTATTTAAATCTGTGGAATTAATGAACACCCCGTTTGTATTTTTCAGGACCGCTCCAGAATGTACGACAGTCTGAACATGCACTCCTTGGAGAGCTCTCTGATTGACATCATGCGAGTGGAGCAGGATCCAATGAAAGGTAAGACGGCCGTTCCCTTTTGGTCTTCGTTTGCGGGGTCAGAGGAAGGTGATCTGTCATTCTCTCTGCACAGCGCTGTGCAGAGAGAATGACAAGCCTGTTTCCCACCGGAGCTGTGTTGTTTTTCCACACGTGGGCTTATTTTCCTCCCCGCTAAGAGCTTAAGGCTTGTGCCACCAGCTGCATGTTTACCTGACTTAAAGCTCTGATCTGGTGGCTGCTTAACCTGTCCAGCACAGATCTGGGTAAGAAGCAGAGAGGGAGCACAGGAAGAAATCTGCTGCATTTTGTCAGTAAGCTCTGAACTTCAACAAATAGGTGCTGAGTTTCTTCTGAATTATTTCTAAGGGTTTGACAGTGACATGCAGAGAGGGTCCTATAGTGTGACACTCTGCTGGCCGCCTGCGCTCAGCTGCTGAGCATCAGAGCTGCAGTATCAGATGACTGCACCCCTCTTACCCTCCTCGGCTGCCACCGCCTTCCTGTGGCTCATTTACAGCCTTGCAGGCCATATATGCTCTCAATTTACAATATTGAAAGAACAGAGGAAGAACAGCAGTGGCACAAACAGGACCGCCTGCTTTGGTTACTGATTTGTTTGTGGACAAGCAAAGAGCCCCATCCTTTTTCAGTTTATTAGGGTCCCACCTGTGTGTGTGTGGTTGGGTGGGGGGGGTCATGGTTGAACAGATGGACAGGACATGGACCGGTGTGCACAGCAGATAGAAGGAGGGAGGTGGGCTAATTTTAGATGAGATCACCCCTCCACACTCTGTGTCTGACAGCCAAGAGGGAAGATGACAGAGGGCGATTGCTTGCAAGGCTCTGATTGGCTGGTAACGGCATTTTGGTTAACAGATTTCCAATATAAGAGCATGAATATCAATATTACATTCTGATAAAAATATTATCAGTTTGTTTTTTTATTAGCCAATCAACCCAAGAAGCTTAATACATTTATTAGATTTAACCTTTTTCACCTAAACATTGATTTTCTAGTCAGTTATATAATCTGGAACCAAAACACGACATTGCAGGAACCCGTCATCTACTCCACTATGACTCATCTGAAGATGACAGCTTCTGAGTCGGAGCTTTGGCTTTATTTAGGAAGAAACCAGATAATTTAAAAGCATAAAATTGGTCAGCACAGCTCAGATGACCTGAAGATAGAGCAGATTCTCAGTTGACACACCCAGCTGTCACCTAAAAACAACAGTTAGATAACTTAAAAGGAGTGGGCCTTATACCAAATTCAGTATCTTGTAAAAATACCTGTGAACCAGCTCATCTGTCATCACATGAGGACCACACAAAAGTATAGCGTTCATTAGGGCTGAACGATTATTTTTCCCAAAAATCTAAACTGTGATTACTTTTAACCAAAGGTTGCAATTTTATTTCAATTTTGTAATCAATCTTGTAAATGTTTCACCCCAGGCTTTCGAGTTTTGAACACTTTCTTGCCCAGAGTCCATTGTTACAGGACTTTACTATAACTATTGTGTAAATGCATGGATCTATGTCAGCTGCAACTCTCTACCTTTCTGTGTCGCTGCAAACCCACTTCAAGTGTTTAATCACCACCTAAAGGCTGGAGGGAAATATTTAGTGTTTTAGCGCCTCTGCAATTTGAAAATTGCGCTTTGTTAAATTTGAATTATACTTTAAATGCAGTGAATTGCCCAGCCAGCCGCCTTTTCTCTGTTACATCTGAATAAAATACAATCAGTTTTGTTTGTATTTCAGTGTAAACCCAGCTGCTCTTTGTGGGTCTTAGAATAAGCTTCAGTAGATCAATCACACTATCAGTGTGAGCTAGACATGGGCTGGTGTGAAACCTTATGGTATGATGACCTTTGGGGAAAAAAATCCCAGTTTCACAGTATTATAATTACAACTCTGTTACTGAAATGTCTACATTAAAAAAGAGAAGAGTGTGAGAACTTTTCTTCTCCCTAGGCATTTTGGCTAGTGGTTTTCCAATATTACTTGCCACTCTTTTCACTAGCCATAATTAGAAAATTATTATGTTTTATATGATTTAAGCTAAATGTGGCATTTTCAAGTTTACTTAAACTACACTGCACTGACCCTTCTACACATTTATCTAACTACTTAAAATGTCTTACACTACCAGTCATCAAGTATTCAGTTCAGATAAGATGTTGCATAATGTTATTTTTTTTACAAAGATATGTAGTGTACTGTAAAAAGTAATTAAATGTGCTTAGGGCTGAAACAATTAATCTTGATTAATCGATTATTGAAATAATCATCAACTAATTTAGTAATAGATTAATCATTAACTGGAGTATAGATACTTGAAAACATTGCTTTAGCTGACAGAGCAACCGACTTAGAGCAGAAACTGTACCAAAATTGTAAAAACAAATATACATATATATAAATATGTTAAGATAAAAACTTTTTTTTTTGTCAGTATGCTCTATCCAGGAGAAGTTTTAGTTTGACCTGGTTTAATTCTGTAAAAAATCCTCTTTAAGTAACTGTTGCGTTCAAATTATTAATCAATTAATCGAAAAAAAATTCAACAGATTAATTGATTATCAAAATAATTGTTAGTTGTAGCCCTAAACGTGTTGATGTATTGCTTTTGAAAATTGTTACAGGGATTGGAGTACTAATATAAAACATAAAAACTGAACCGTAAAACAACAAAAAATGCAAAACAGTTTAAATTTTGTTTCATTTTCTCATACTTACTGCAAGACTGAATATTTACTGTTGACTGTATTTACATATGTTATTATTGTTTATTTATTTGGATCCCCATTAGCTGTCAGTAATTTGACAGCTACTCTTCCTGGGGTCCTTTTAAAATTATACAGATACACAAAACATATCAAATGATCACATCATAAGAACAACTATACATTTCAAATTATTTCACATTACAGTACAATCTGTTACACAAATATTCATATATTAAGGCTTTCAACAAAGTATTTTTTTTTAAATATCGTAGTAGCAGTCAAGATGTTATGAGGCAGTTTGTTCCACAGAGTCACAGCTCTGAACAGCACTATTAGCATCATTGATTTGCAATTACCTCCACCAATAATGAGATATATTTTCATAAAAGAAGAATTCTAATATTAGTTTCTACATAAGGCTGGTCATCCGTTTGCGAAGCCCCATTCCACCATGGAGGTCCAGAGTGATAAAATAGCGCTAACACGCAGGATAATCTCAGAAGGCATGGTAAGCATCTGAGCTTTAGCTGTAATTGTGTAAACAGTCATTTAGCAACAGGAAGCCAGCATTATGATCCATACTCTGACTGCATAAGGGAGGATTCTGCACTTAAAACCAAACAGCATGATGATGGTAAAGTCTTCCATATGTGCTTTCTTTATTTAAAATGGTTTTTCTCCTTTATGCTCCAAATGTTGCACACACATTACTCACGATGTGATCATCTCAATTGGTGCCTGTTTCCCCCCCCATTTGTTTCTGTATTCGCACACATTTAAATCCATCATCTTCATCCTGTACTGTCCTCCTGCTTCTTTTTCATCAGCACCTGTGTTTGTATTTCTGGGGCTTTGTGTGTGTTTGTAACATATGCGTGTTTCTCATGTCAGGCCGTGTGGGCTGCCCTAACCCCGGGGCCGACGGTCTTCTCATGCTCAATGGTAATTATCTCTATGTATCATCTCTCCTCCTGTGTCTCCTGCTCCCCTGATGCATCCTCTGATACTCCTTAACCTCAGTGGACACATTCTCCTCTTACTCCATATGACCTGCCGTACACCTTGTTTCAGGCTTATAAAACCTCTGTTTTAAAATCCTAGTTTTTTAGGGCGACAAACTCCCAACATGCCTTAGAAATGCTTTGTAATATACGCTTCCGACATGACCTACTTTGTTTAAGCCCAGTCATGGTGGCGGATTGTGCCATTAGAATAATTATCATGCTGCAGAAAGCTGCTTTTAGCATCACATGCAAGTCAGGAACATTTTGAAATGTAATTTAAAAAATGTAATTTTTCCTTTGTTTTTTTTCTCCTTTTCATCAAATTTTAAAATCTTTTAATGATTACAATCTTACCTCAGCAGAACCTGAATTTGGTTCAGAGATCAAGCAGAAAATGATTGAGGATCTTTGGGGTTTTATTTTAATGAGGTCAGTTTGCTGTGTCCTCCTAACATGCAGCAGTTTAAACATCATTTTAGGAGTGGATTTGGGATTATGCTTTTAAAGCCACGCATTTTGCTGCTGCTTGTCATTTATGTTGTTCCCTGACACAGGTAGGATATGAATGTATTGAGATTCAGGTGTAAGGATTTGTTTAGGCTGATTTCTGATCTCCAGCTCTTAGAATAAAACTTTGACCTCCTAATATTATTTTAGCTGATTTAATTTCTCTTTTAGAGCCCTAATATTAGGAGATTACTTATTAATCCCTAAAGAAATTAAATTAGACGCACTAGTAGACCAAAAATCATTCCTCATCATTTGGAGATTTGGATTTAAAGTTGCTTTTCTTTGCCATTTTATAAATAATAGCCAAACAATGTACATGGGGGAGTATTTTTGAAAGAAAGTAGTTTTCCTTTTATTTAAATTTAAATTCAAAATTCCCACGCAGGATTTTTATTTTATTATTTGTAAGAAATATTTTTATTAGTTCTTCCCTTTTTATATAATTAGTTAGTTGTATTCCAGTAACAAGCCATTATAGGTTAGAAGAGCTTCTTTCCATCACCCTAATTTTTAGTTCCAATTATGGATTATTTCTTAGATTTAAGTCGAGTCGCTGGATGGGCAGAACAAATCATGAAGGTTAATGATAAAAATTAATGATTTACGGCTTAGCTGTAGAATTATTGTATTCAAATTATTTATGTCTAGTTGTCCTGCTAATATATTAAAAATGAAGGTTTTGGCATAACCAGTGCGTATTGACTTACATAAAAGTATTGTTTAGAAATGAAGAACCATAACTCTGAGATTTCTGAAATTTAATTAAATCCAAATCCAGTTCATTAACCAGCAGACGGAAAGTCTTGCTCTCTCTCGCTCCCTTGTGGTCAGAATGAAACGCGGACATTTATCAACTGGTAGCAGCTGGTGTTTTCACTGGGGAAGGTTCCTTTATTAATCCCAAAGGGAAATCAATTACTTTTATAAGGGCTTATTCAACAAGTTGTAGATCTGGATAGCCATAGAAAAGAAAGGATCTACTGCAGGGGTGTTTCTTACAGAAGACTGGAGAAGCTCACATTGAAGACACAGAGAAGATATGCATCACCTTGCTGCAAACATTGAAGGGCCTCCTTATAAAGAACAATCTGGTAGCATAATGTTTATAGTGTTTGACCAGTTTCTGTTTCTCCTGACATTTGCACCAGTGGCGGCTGGTGAAAAATATTTTTGGTGGGGCTGATATAGCCTAGTGTATGTCTCCAACTAATCCGGAATAAGAATTCGATTAAACAATTGGACAATACATACAATTTAACAGTAATGATTTAATTTACTATATAATAACAGTAACAGTGATGATTTGGGTCACTGTGACGGGGTTCTTTGGCCTCCAAGAATCCAGGCTCAGTCTGGTTACCGGTGTTGGTGATTTATTGAGCTCAAAAAATCAAAACAGGGTGCAAAAGAAACTAAACATATACAAGATACTCTGGGCCTCAGCCTCCCTCCAGTTACCAGCAACGTAACAAAGAAACAGAAAACAAAAATTGCCGCTTTTCTTCCCACAGCCCTCATTAAATAGTTTAAGCCCCTCACCTCAGGCTCTCTTATTTCTGATTTCTTCTCATTAATCAGTTTTGTCCATATATTACCTCCACAAACAATTGATTTACAAAAACAAATAATTTTTACAACTTAATTCTTTTACACAGATTCATTGACTTATTCAATTACACCAAACTGGGTTTGAACCCAGCAAAGACGCAGCCAGACTGAAGATGACAAGTCCCCATAGCATAAACACGTACACACCCACCACACACACACACACCCCCCACATACCACACACACACACGGCTAACCCCACTGAAATATTAAGTGTGCACCCTCAATACGCCAGCAGGTAACCAGGAACAGCTTGTGTGTTTTAAGTTCATGGAGCTACTGGTCTCAGCGCGAGTGAATTGGTCCTCACAAACACAGTATAACAGGAATGTGTGTGTGGCGCGCAAAGTTAGAGGATGTTTTAAGCGACGAGGTGGATTCGTCACAGTCACAATAACCATGACCATCCTACAACAGGGATGTTCTTCTGGCAAACGGGTAGATAAATAAGGATCTCACCGAATTTGGTGGAAGCTGCATCTCGCTCGTTACATTCGCCATCTTCCCTCTAATTGTCTGCACCTGCGCTTGGGTTCAGAAGCCTGTAAAAGTGCAGTATTTTCAGCGCCCCAATACCATAAAGTTCCGAGACGCTGATTGGCCATTAAATTCACCTAGCAAAAGTACATGATGGACAGATTCTCTGCAAATGTGGGTCAGTCTGATCAGCGCCCCCAGAACAGAGACGGTAGGAGTCTGTCTGTGGAAATCCACAAATTAATGACAGTAGATAGCGAAATGTTGTTTATATAATTTGTTTTGCTTATAGGTACACAGTCTAGAGAGTAAAACTGACATTTATGAGTTAATTTCTAAAAATATATTTTACGTTTCTCTCTTCTTATCAGGGAGGGCGGTGCCCCAGCGCCCCCTATGGGCCGGCCGCCACTGATCTGCACTCATCCTCCTTTTTATTTACATTTAAGCTGAGATGATTGTTTCCAAATCATGCCATGAGTGCTTCACCGGCTCCCTGTATTCAGCTTTCTGTCCATCGCTGATACAAGTACAGAGTCATCTGAGTGTTTCTGCTGATGACAGAAGTCTGTCTTGTCCAGGAAGTCAGAGGTCTAGAGAGTAATAATGAATGACAGGAAAACTGCTCCCTTTGGTGCTCCTGTGCTGCTGATTTTCATGTTAGACAGCTGACCCTTCAGTCTAAAAAGCTGTGGTCTGTTTTTCAGCTAGTCTTTGCTCCAGATGATTGCTGAGGCCTCCATGTGACTCTTTTATTGTTTCTGAAAAAGCATATCAAGCTGAATCGTGTTAAATGCATTGGAGAAATCAAACAGGGAATGGATTAAAAGCAGAGCGCCGCAGTTCTGTACCCTGTATGATGCAGGCGCTATTAGTATGTAAAAATAAGGTGGTAATCGTTCTGCAATGATAGGCTTTTTATCAGACAACCTAAGGTTTTACCTAAGAAACATTCTGATTGGATTTAAAACACAAGAAACATGAATAGTAAAACAAATTCAGAAGTTATTTACGCTATATGGGAAATGCCTTGTCACAAATATAAGAACTGCTTCAATCTTTCTATTAACTTTTTTTTCCCAGCCACGTCCAGGGTGAATCCAAATGCCAAAAAAAAAGTTTTTCTTCAAAATTGAAAAACTTAAAGCCGCAGCAGCTCTCATAACTTCCCAGTCGCACGCGCTCCCTAAACATTTGGTGCTGCCATGTTTTTTTTTTTATCCCTAATTATTGCAACATTTTATTCTCTGAACAGCTGACAAGGTGAATCCATATAAGATGGAGAAAATGAGCTCAAAAACTATCAATGAGAGGGTTACTTTAAGCCAAACCTTTTTTCTAAATCAGAAAACAACTGAGTTTTTTATCACCTCCATGTTGCCTCGTTGTGTTTCTCTCATCGCTCATCTTACAACCAGCTGCACTTTAGGGTGTCACACCCATCTTTGTATTACCAACATCAGCCTTTGAGTGCAGGATTAGTTCACCCTATATCTCCTTGCTTTCTGTATCCCTTTGCTTACATTGATTTATTTTCAAACACCTCAGTGATGCTGCTAACTTTGAACCTGGTCCATCTTAAAGGTAGCCTGGGTGCCACTCCGAACTTAGTCCCGCCCACAACGTTTGAGGTCGGGAAGTTCGGTCTGGCTCTGCTCCATAGTAGCGCGAGTATCATCGCCCACTCTCTGGCGATCTAATCAAATTGTCAGCGCGGGCTTTATACGATGATGGACAGATGAACAACAGTAACGTAATAAACCACGTGACCAAAGCGCGCATGGGTGACAACAACAATGACTGCCGCTGGATATTTGAGGTGTGTAGATTCTTCTATTAGGTCTGTTCTAGAAGATATCGACAGCAAATCAATTTTAAAAAAGGAACAGAGAAACGCGATCAAGGCTCATCTTCTTATTCTTGGCGTGCAACTGCACGCTTTTTTTTTGAACTATACAAATATATAGATTTTTGTTGAACATACGTCACGCACTCCGTTGCTCTTATTGGTTGTAGGTCTATCCAATTGAGTGCAGAGGCATTTTTTTTCCTAGTTCGTTCGAAACACGCCCCATAATCACAGCTCTATGGAGCAGTATCAGACTCATATTTTGACTAGAATTGAGTCTGACTACGTCAGGCTATCTTAAAGGCTGATCCAGTTAAAAATCATCAGATTTTAAACACCAGCTTATTTCAGTTGTTTTTTAGTTTGTGCATAAATCTTTTTTTTTTTATTGAGTTAAAATTCTGGGTTTTCATTCTCTACATATAAATTAGTAAAATATGCTACATTTGCTATTTATTTTTTTTAATATAAGGTAGATGATACAATAGCAAAGAAAACCATATTCACAAAAAAGGGGAAAAAAGATTTTGCCCATCTGAGGAGGTTGAAAGCATCAGAAGCATTTGATTAAAGTATTCCTTATAAATGATTTGTAGTTGATAAAGATGTTGCTGGTTAAAATCTGCCCAAATACCCTTTAACAAATGTTCATTGAGCTGAAACTTGCCCTCTTGTACTTTTCCACATGCAGCCAGGAGCTATGGGAGACGTCGAGGTAAATACTCCGCTGTGTCTGTTCTCTCTGAGTCTATGAACCTGCTTACTGTAAATGGGCCTTTAGAACTCACTGTATTCTGGGTTATAGGTTCTAGATCATGTTGGTGTTTTTGTTCTGCTTGTAATCTAAAAAGGTGTATCTTTTATTTTGTTCCAATACTGCTAAAAATGATAATTATTTGAAAAAAATTTAAAATTTAAAGATGATATTATTTTAGTGTCCAAAAATGTATGATAGCAACTGTGTTCATAGCACATAATGAAAGGCTTTGGATGTGCTTCCTTTCAACACAGAGTGGGAACATATTACCCCAGACTTGCCAAGATAACCTTAATAAAATACAACAGTTTAAATGAATCTGGGTATTTAAACCAAATCATAACAGACAACATGATGTATTGAATTTTTCCTAATCTGAACTACAAGAACTATGTTTTACCATGCATGCAGTGCTGAAGTTTTGTATTTATGTTTATAAAAAAATAGTTAATATTATACAATAATATTGGACATATACCACATATTATTGCATGCATAACAAAATACCCTAATGTGTACAGTCTGTTTTAAAAACATGTGAAAGCTTCGTTACATTTAAATTAGAAGTTGGCAAAATAATAAAACACTCTTTGTAGCTTTTTTAAATAATAAAGTTTTTTTTATTTAAATGTCTAGATATTTTCCTCGACCCGAAGGGTTTATTGGCAGTTTTACTGTTATACTGTATGATTGTGTTTTTTTAAGGTTTCTGCTAATTATAGCAACTTTGGTCTTTCCCAGATGAAGCGAAATAAGCATCTCTGAGGTAGATACCTAAATCTATCTATAATACAGAAAAAAACAAATACAGTAGATAGTTTTTTTTTCTTTTACAGGAGATGCAGCCAAGTAGAGCTAGGTATCGTCAGCATAACTGTTAACATTAACAAAGTGTCTGCTCTTCATAACCTAAAGATAATGGATAATAATTGTACTGCCTGCTTATGTAATTCCATTTCTCTTTGAACCATTGAATGCTTTAAATATTGAACTCTAAAATAAAGTGTGCATAGTTTGTGAATGCATTATAATCATAAAATTTGATTTTAAAAACCTAAATAATTAGCATTAAAAAATGCACCATCACAGTGTTCTAGGCGTGTTTGCATCCCTTACCACACATAATTTGAGCCTCACTTAGATGAAACCTTTCAATCAATGCAATAAAGCTGTTTGCAAACGCAAAATATCAGTGTTTAGTAAGTGATTTCAAATGATCTGAATGTATGAGTCAGAGTCAGTCATTGACAGCTGTTAGCAGGACCTGCAGCGTCTTGCTAAAATATTCATACCCTTTGTTCCCGACCTCATTTTAACTTAGAATCAGCAGTTTTATACTGAGGTTAAATCACACAGGTGGACTGGATATTATTAAGGGGTATCAGAGTAAAGAGTGTCAGATACAAATATATAGATATATATATATCTGTATATATATATATATATATATATATATATATATATATATATAGGGAGAGAGAGAGAATGATGCTTACATTTTTTGCCTCTTCGCACGTAGTCTTCACTCTTTGTCTTGATAAGCGATATTTCAATTGAATATATAATGAAATGGGTTTAGTTTAAGTGGTGTGAATACTTTTGTAAGGCACCCCAGGTTTGGTTCAATATTTTCCAAAGTCCAAATTGATCCGAGGGTTTCCCTTTTCCCTTTTCTGACAGTCTTGTGATTTTTTTCTCTCAGGAACCTTTGCTGACACCCAGCTTTCTAAATTTGTAATGCAGCCTCATTTCAGTTTGTGAATGAATGTTTTAGGATTTCTTGGAATTCAAACTGTCTGTTTCATTTAAGCTAACAGGAGCTCCCTGCTTATTTGGTATCCAAAAACCTTTTTTTTAATAACCACAATGGAATGGTCTATATAAATCAGAACATTTAATTCAGATTAAACCAAAAATATTTGCCTTCTGCACAGCTGTGGATAATTTTTTACTACACCTGTCATATCTGTCATTTTTATCATTTAATTGGCATGGATTAGAAACTGAACATTTTGGTGTCCTTAGGATTTTGTTGCAGCTTTTCAGTCCTGCTTTATCTGCCATGGTGCTTAATATGGAGAACAGATTATTATGTCACAGTCACAGATCTGATCTGACAAAACTGAACTGCACATAATCCTGGCTTTAAGCTGCTGCTTTGTCTCCGTGTTGCAGTGTAATGAAAGCAGACATTTTTTTTCTAATAGAGAGCTTTGCTTTTAATCTCTCCCATTCCCAGAGGAGGAATGATGTTCCTTAGAGAGGTACTGATGCTGTGACCTAACAGGAAGTGATTATGTGTTTATGCAAAGACTTTTTTTTTTCAATCTGCTGTGCCCTCACCTTCCCTCTATGTCCCCACCAGGCCGCTCCTCCCTTTTCCCGATTGACGACAATCTCCTTGACGATGGCCACGGCAATCAGGGTGTTCCAGGTGTCCTTGGATCCCCAAACTGTTACCCCCATCAGAACGGGGAGCGCACCGAGCGCTTCTCCCGTAAGGTTTTTGTGGGGGGGTTGCCTCCTGACATAGATGAAGGTGAGGATCACTTGAACACTTTTTGTTATTTCAGTTCTGTATCTTGTCTTCATCCCTCTGTTTTCTCTTTTTTATTTAGATGAAATCACCTCAAGCTTCCGTCGCTTCGGTCACCTGGTGGTTGACTGGCCACACAAAGCTGAGAGCAAATCCTACTTTCCACCTAAAGGTATAAGCTAAAAGCATGAGCTGCTGGTATTTAACTACAGAGACATACCACTTAACCCAGGGTTAGGCAATTCCAGTTCCTGAGGGCCTCCATGCTGTAACTGTTAGAGGTGTCCATGGTCCAACAAACCTGATTCAAGTAATTAGATTATTAAAAGAACTGCAGAAACTGACAGCATACTGAGGAGGTAATACAGCAAATTGATTCAGGTGTTTTTGACCAAGGAAAAATCTAAAAGCTACAGCATAGCGGGCCTCGGGAACTGGAATTATCCACCCCTGACTTAACCACTACCTGCTGGAAACTCTAATGAAGATGTATAAAATCATTCAAATAGATTAATCTTGTATTGCGGTAGCAATGTCTCACACTAAAAATCTTTGAATAGTTTTTATTTTCAATAATCTGTTAAATAATCCAAAACATCTTATTATGCTTGGGTGTTAATATGATATGGAAGTAAATCTGTGTCGCTGGGATTTGAATTAAAAATGCCACTGAAATTTAAATGTTGTATGATTGTTCTTACTGTTTCAGTGTTAAAATATATTCAGAACACATTTTTGACCTAAAAAAAATTTTTATTGTCATTATTTCTACACAGCTGAAATTTCATTTGTTATTTTCTCTTCAAGCTAAAAATTCACATTACTATTTCAAAGTGATTACATTTTCAATACTTATTTTTCAGTAAAATGTTTCAGTGTTAAAAACTCAATATTTTCAGCCTCCTGAGATTCAACTGGCTCTATTTCACTGTCTTAAATTCGGCGTCTAAATTCAGTGTAAAAAGGGAAGGGTTACTTCAGGTCACAGACATTAGCCATGGATTGTGGTGTCCAACACCCAGCCAATCCCATTACGTTTTCTTAGTCACATTAGTCAGTTTTCAATATAGAAGAAAACAGTAGCTCCTCATATTTATTTTTTTTCTTGGTTGAAATGTGTATTTTGGGTTTTCTGTCTCTCTTTGGAAGTCAATGATTAGGCAGAAAGACACATTATTTGCTATTCGAGGGATTCTGCACCAAACATTATCCCAACAAATCTGTGTAGCCACCTAAAATTCAAACTGCAGTGATCCGTGAGCAGCTTGATACACAGAAAGAGCTGGAGTTTATGGAGGGGACTTTTCCTCAACTTAAATACATGCTTCATGTTTTTATTTCCATCTTGTCCTGTTCAGCATCTTAACAGCATAGTGGTGGTCTTACTCTTGTGTGGTACCAATAAATAAACTCATTATGTTTAATTTTTATATTTTGTGTAAGATATTTCTGTTTTAAAAGTTGATTACACATCAACATTTTTTATTTAATTATCCAAGTTTTTTCTCTCAGGGTACTCTGGCCTCCTCCCACAATTCCCTTCAACGGTAGCCTCTGGCCCGGTCGCCTCTTCAGGGTTTTCATCTAATGTTCGCACTGACTGGAAGGCGTTTTTCATTTACAAACTGCAGGCATCAGAATAATGAAAGCGAACATATTTTGCTTGGAGGTTTCGACTTTTATGTTAATTTAGGCGTTAATAAACTGTTATCATAGGAGTGATCATAGTGATCTGCATCAGCAGTGCTGTGTCTGTCTCCCTGCCAGCTCCCAGATCAGCTTATCTGATTGGTTGATGTGGAGAGTCGAGCCGCAAAAGTTACATTTTTCCAACTCCAGCAGCTGCTGCTTTTGCAGCGCATGCTGCATCTCAGATGCTGAAAAGCTCATGAGGTGCTGCTTCAGCTGCTCTAAACGCACTGCAGGACCTTTTGCTGCGCCATGATGCGCATCAACCATTGACTTTGCATGTAAACTAGCTGCTTCTTCTGCCTCTCGCGCATATGGTCTGTAGCATAATGCTTTTGCAGTGAGCTGATATTAAGATCCTGGATGTTTGTGTGTCTCTCCAAGGATACGCCTTCCTGCTGTTCCAGGAGGAGAGCTCGGTGCAGGCCCTGATTGATGCCTGCATGGAGGAGGATGGGAAGCTCTACCTGTGTGTTTCCAGCCCCACCATTAAGGACAAACCTGTGAGTTTAACATGCAGCTCTCAGACAAAGACAGAAACAAAGTCATGAACCGTTTTTTTTTTGTCTTATAATTATGGATCCCAATAAAAACTTTTAATCAAGTTAAATACAGGGGCTGTAATGAATTAATCGCATTTTAATCAAAAACCATATCAACAAAATAAAACAACTTTTCAATTCAAAAAGCCTTTTTGCTCCCCAATTATTGAATAACTACCCCCTAATCCCAGAAAAGCCCATAATCTTTTATGCAACATCTTTGAATAACTACTTCTAACCATATATTATACCAGCAAGGCATACAATATTGCCTTTAAGACTTTACATTTGCTGTAAACAGAAAATAATTTGTCTATTTCCAATACTGACAGAACTGACAGGTCAGCTCTGCATAAAGCATTGCTTTACAAATCCTATTCAATGTGCAGCATTTAGTGCAGTTAAAACATTTGCCACTGAGGCTGCTGTTTCTTGTTAAGTCAGCAAAAAATCAATGTTCCTGGTCCTAGCTCCTTCCTTAATGCCAGCACTATTCAGATAGCATTTATTTTTCAACTGTTGACACACTAAGCTTAGATATCCATAGCTTAGATGTCCATACCCATTTGAGGTATTCAGTTCGAGCCATGATGGTTTTTCAGCCTGAATATCCCCACCTGCTTGCTTATCATATTTACCGGAGTACAAGAAACATCAACTACGAAGTTCAAAAAAAAGAAAATAAAAAACAATCCACTGGACTTTGTTTCCAATTTTGAAGACGTTTTGCTTCCCATCCAAGAAGCTTTTTCAATTTAATATGTCAGGAATATCTTTGAGTTGGAAGTTTTATTTAGTAGCCCATCAAAACCTTGAAATTGAAACAGACGAAGGGTCCATCCCTTTGGAATGGGGGTCGTTTGGCTTCTTTTGTTAGACTGCAATGCCCCATACCTGTCTAAGTCTTTGAAAGGGGGGTCGTTAAGGGAAATTGTTGGCCTGGCTGAATAGATGAGGTCCTCCACTCTCCTGTGCAGAGGTTGGGGCTGCGATGATAGTGGGAAGGGATTAACTTAATGCTGCATTGTAGGTTTTTGAAAGCTGGAACCTAAATCCACCCCTGTTTAAGGTTGTTTTTTCTTTCTTAACATAGATGGCTTCTTCCCCTCTCAAACCACCTATTTTCTTTTTCCAAAATGTGAACATTCTGGTCCTCAAAAGAATTGCCTTTGTCCAAAAGGTGTAGATGTACTACAAAGTCTTTTCCCGAGAAGGTTGCTCTTCTGAGTTGGGCCATGCGTTTGTGGAGAGGTTTCTTGGTTTCTCTAATATAAAGATTCCTCACTGCATTGAACTGCATACACCACTCCGCTCATATTTGGTCTGTGGGTTTTGTCCTTGGGATGCACCAGTCTAAGTCTAAGGGTCTCGTTTGGTTTGAAATTTATTTGGATTTTGTGTTTGGGGAAAAACCTCTTGAGTTTTTCAGAGACTCCAGCAACATATGCGATGGCGATGTTTTTGCATTTAATCTTCTCACCGTTATGTTCTGCTGACTGTCTTTTGGATTTCCTTGCTGATTTGAAAAAGGTTCCCACATGGGAGTTAAGTATGTATATAAGGAAATCCAATAAATTATGTCAATTTTTAACAATTGTTTTATTAAAATGTTACTAATTAATTAATTAACTTGTGATTACTGCGATGGACTGACGACCTGTCCAGGGCGCACCCTGTTTCTCGCCCGTAGACAGCTGGAGAGGCACCAGCACCCATCGCGACCCCACTTGGGATAAGCGTGTTAGAAAATGGATGGATGGATGGAGGGACTTGTGATCAATTCAAGTCCCTGCCCAACTGTTCACAGATTAAATAAAAAAAATCTTACTGTGTTTGACTTTAGGTGCAAATCAGACCCTGGAACCTGAGCGACAGTGATTTTGTGATGGATGGATCTCAGCCTCTCGATCCCCGTAAAACCATCTTTGTGGGAGGCGTCCCTCGACCCCTGAGAGCAAGTAAGCAAACCTGACTTTGTTTACTGGACACCAGCATAACACACATATCATCCAGAGTATCTGAACATTCCTCTCATCCTGTTTTTTTACCCCCTGTTCAGTTGAGCTGGCCATGATCATGGACCGCCTCTATGGTGGAGTTTGCTACGCAGGAATCGACACAGACCCAGAGCTCAAGTACCCCAAAGGGGCGGGGCGGGTGGCCTTCTCCAATCAGCAGAGTTACATCGCTGCCATCAGTGCGAGATTCGTCCAGCTGCAACACGGCGATATTGACAAGCGGGTACACATCTAGCGATCTTAACCCTTTAAAGCCAAGTGTATCACATTTGATACATGAGTTTTTGAAACCTCTGCATCATCAGTGTGATGTTTTTGTTCTTGAAACCCTGACTTACATAATCAGACACATGTAGTGAACAGAAAGCATATAAAAAAATGATATAGAAATATAAAGAAAGAAATATATCAAAATTGATGCAAATAAATGATGTAATTTAATGTTTACAAAATTGATATAGTTATTTCATTTGTCACAAAGTTCAGTGACAATTCTAATTTTGGAAAATTAGAATCTTCTGTCAATTTTTTCCTGGTTCAGGTTTTAAAGGGTTAATGAGATGTGATATTCACACAATTTCTGGATTCATAGCACGTGTTAACGTCATCGTTGCGATTGCAGGTGGAGGTGAAGCCCTACGTCCTGGACGACCAGCTGTGTGATGAGTGCCAGGGCGCCCGCTGCGGGGGCAAATTCGCTCCCTTCTTCTGCGCTAACGTCACCTGTCTCCAGTACTACTGTGAGTTCTGCTGGGCTAACATCCACTCCCGTGCAGGGCGAGAGTTTCACAAGCCCCTGGTGAAGGAGGGCGCCGACCGTCCGAGGCAGATTCACTTCCGCTGGAATTAGCGGCTGCACGTCCACCATGGCGGTCAGAGTTAAGGGAAACACTGGCTGATGGGAAAAAGAGCCTCACTCTGCCTCTCCTGCTAACCTAAGCTATCAGTATAATCGAGTGCGTAACACTATACAATATATACTAGCTACATATAGCTATATATCTTTTGTAGCAGCCAAACACCGCAAGCCTCAGTTTTTCACCAAAACCCCCCCTCACATCTCAGGCTCTGACAACTCTACAACTCTTTTATGGTACTTTCATCTTTTTCTAAGAGGAGATTTAAAAGTAAAAATAAGAAAAAGAGATTGATTTTTGTAGCTTTTTTTATTATTATTATTATTACAATTATTTTTATTTTTGTATGTGAGATCTAAGTAGATACGGGAATGTTTTTTGCATGGGGGGCAGCTCGTCTGTCTGTCTGTCTGCTGCTAGCAACCACACAGTGTGTTCAGCGCACACCAGTTTCTAGGAGAAAAAAAAAAATCTCTAACTTCGACTCGTGCCGCAGGGGATTAACCAAAGGTAGCATAACGATAAGAAAGCTCAAAAACTGACACACTGTCTGCCGCGGAAACAAGCGTGACTTTCTAACGCTATCATGGGCTTTTTTTGTTTTATTTTTTAGAGTTTATTGAAAGGAAAGAAAAAAATAGGGTTATTTTTTTCTGCTCATTCTAACCTGTAGAGCGATACCTCAAAATACTAAATCTGGTTTCCGCTAACATTTATACTTAAAAAAAAAAGCTATTTTAGAAGCTTTGCTGCTATATATAAATATATATGAATAGATATGTAGGTGTTATATTTAAACCCAAAATCATGTAAAGTGAAATGCAGTATGCACACAACCACTTAACGGCGCCACCGAAAGAATTAAAGTGCATGCAATCACAACAGGCTTCTAGCTGCAGGAGTAGCATGCAGAATATGACGTGAGAAAGAGAAATAAACCAAAACACTAAAATCTTATTTAAACGCTTAAAAACTGAGATTCTTTACTGGGTAGCATGATCATCAATGACAGATTCCCAAGTGGGGAAGCATAAAATAAAAAATAAAAATCAGAGGAGGTTAAGAAAAAAAAAAAAACGTACATAAACTTGCATGCTTCGATGTTTCTTTGTTGTTTACATACTATCAATACAACAAGTGATATTGGTTCTAATGTAGACTTAGTCGACGCCGTCTTCTGGTGACATGGCGGCTTGTATAGAAAAACAATAGGAAATCAAAAGCAGAGTGGTGTTCAGTGGTTTGTGTTTGTGTTTGTCTGTGTTGTGTGATTGTTTTTAGTGTAGACTGAGACTCTAGTTTAGTTATCAACAGATGATGTAGAAAATAAAAACCCAAAAACATGCCTTCACTTATCCCGTCTTTGAACCTTGGAAAAGGCTCTGGATGATCTCAGACAGCGTCTCTCAAACCGAAGACGTCTGAGTCATGATATTAAGCGTCCTTCATCTGTGTTTAGCAGAAGTTTTCATACCCATGGAGCTTCTCCTCACTACAGCTACAATCTCCAATGCTTCATTGTGGCGTATATTATGTTTTAGACCAACACAAAGTAAGGTAGGATTCCCAGATGCCTTTAAAACCAGCTGTTGCTGCTGTTGTGCTGTTGCTGTCTAGAGTCTGACATTTCTTTGGAGACGTAAGGCCAGTCAGTTTACACTGTTGCATCTGTAGATATCAGGTTTTTTAGGTCTTTCCACTTATTCTCGATTGGATTTCAGTCTGTGCTCTGACTGCGCCACTCTAACACATGTATGTGCTGTCATCTGAAACACGGTGTGGTGTATTGAAAGTCAGGATCGAAGGCTAACCTTTTAGATTTAAGTTTTTAAAGACTCATAGGTTTTCTTCTAACATTATTGCATATTTAGCTCCATTGATTTCAACAAGCTTGTCTCTTTAAGCATGATACTGCCACCACCATGTTTAACAGCGGTGTGGGCTGTACACCAGGGCACTTTTGAAATTTTAAACACCAGTTTTCAGCTCTCTATTGTTTCATTAAGGTTGGATTAGCTGAGATGTGACTGAGGCTGTGTCTGAATGTTCACCCTAACCCATTAATCCTTTAATCACTAGAGCGGGGACTATATAGTGGACTTTATAGTGAACTCAGTTAACATTCGGATACAGGATCACTACTTTTCGTTACGTCACTTCACCTCCCTTCATGGTGCCTCTGCCATCTTTTTATTTGCCGCCACTGTCAGGTAGCGACAGCTGTGGGCGACAGCGGGCCGCTTTGACAACAAATCCCATTTGCAAGGAGAGATCTACTTGCAGAACATTCTGGAATATATCTGCTTGTCTAGTGACCGTGGATGATCACTATTTTTCAAGGTGCATTGTGGTTAATTGTTCACTACTTTTTCATCCAACACTCATCTAAAATGGCATAACCACTATATAGCGCCCTATATAGTGATTGAGGCGGACATTCAGACACAGCGTTTCTATCAGCACATCTCCCTCATCTAGGCTGCAATTCTCTGCAGTTCCTCTACAGTTACTAGTTGACTGCTTCTCTGATTTCAGTTCAATTCAGAAACACTTTATTAATCCCAAAGGGAACTTAAACGTTGCAGTTTTTAATGAGATATGTAGGTGTTGATAGCTGCAGGCAGGAAGGATCTCCAGTAGTGGTCTGTCTTGCACCAGATCTGGGGAAGCCTCTTACTGAAGGCGTTCTGTTGTGGTCTAACAATATTCTGAAGAGGATGCTCACTGTTTAATGCTCTGCTGACCTGCCTGCTGTTTTCTCTGATCTCTAAGTAACCTCTGAGGCCTTCACTGAAGAGCTGCATTTAAATTAGATTACACACTGGTGAAATCTGAAGGGACTCAGTTGCACTGGGTTTTATTCGGGGGTCTCAGAGTCAAGAGGGATCAACTATTTCATGCCAAACTTTTTATATTTCAGACAACAAAAAGTGCAAACATGTCTCCCTTTTTCTTCTTTTCCACGGTTTATCCAGTACTTTGTGTTGGTCTGCCTCATAAAATCCCAGTTAGACACAATGAAGCGTGTGGCTGTTATGTGAGGAAGGTGAGAACGCTCTGGGGAAGCTAAAATGTTTTGCAAGGCTCTGTAAATTTTCTAACGTGACACCTCCAAGCTTTGCGGGTCCCATCTTGGCTCGTTTCCGGGAGGACAAAGTAGCTCCTCTCCAACGAGGAAGATTATTATTTTTTTTTATGAATCTCATTTGTTTTTACACGTTTCCTCCTCTACCCTTGAAAGACTTTTGAAAAAACTGTTTAGGGACAATCTTGTCTGTGAGGAAGGCCTCCCGGCCCTCCGCTCAGTACTGTACGCTCGTGTCGCTCCTGTGTCGTCGTGATTTCCGTGTCCCCTCCTCCCTCCCCCTCTATGTCAGTCAAGTGACTGTGTTACGAAACCTTAACAAGGACGGAAACTCTAAAGCTTCTATATTCTTATAGCTGGTTTGTATAATTTAAACTGTCTGTGTCGACCTCTACTTACCCATCACTTGCTCTTTCAGATGTTTTTTGATAACATTATTATGCACTACTTTTCTATTCACCCCCACCCCCAATGATTTCAGTGCAAATGTGACCTCTGCTTATTTATTATAACTGTATAGAGGATTTATTAGATGTTATTTTTACACGATTTCTTATTTAACTCGTAGTGTGATGCAGTGGTCTTAAGTTATCTATGTTCTCTGTGATAAGAGCCAGAATCCCAGGTTTTCTTATAATAATAGTAGAATTTGGATGTTGTTAAGGAGCGGGAGTCAAAGGAGTAAGAATAAAGATTTTGCGTTCTGCAAAGGAAACCCCGCCTCCCTTATGTTGCCGCTGCACCTGATGATGTGTGAATATGGTCACCTGTAAACACTTGACTCGTACTGTTTTTCCGTGAGGTTCTATTTTCTATGTTGAACACTGTTCATTTGCTCTGTACGTGTCCTTGTGTTGCTTTTGTAAAAGCATATTTATTTCACTATTTTTGTAGAGGAGAAAAAAATGTTTTGATTTTGATTGTATTTTTCTATTTAAATAGGATTAATATTGCAATTTATCCCCCCCACCCCACTTTATTATGCCCCCAAACGTTCAGAGGAGTCACATCATTCATAACACCATCAGATGTTTTTTGATACACAGGGGAATCTTATTTTAATACAAGAGGCACATGTTTGAAGGAAGGAAACATGAAGGTTTTCTTTTTAATCTGGGAAGACACTTGACATTCTCACCCCCCCCCCCCCCCCCCCCCAACCCTCTCTGTTGCATCGAGGCCCCGGCTGCCTGTCCTCGTAGATGCTCTGAAACTTGAATATAACACATTTTGAAAGGCCGACTAACCTCGACTCTGTGTTGTGATGTGCAATACTGTTTCTAATGTTTGTATAAAAGTAAGAACTACAGTGTAGACCTTTTTAAATGCAGATTTATTTTTTTCATTGCATATTTTGCAGATTTCTGATCCACAGTGTCATTTTTTACCGTCAGAAAAACGAACCCCGTTTTTTCATTGCGAGTATTTTTAAATCCAGATATCTTTGTACTGATGTAAATGATTGTAGTTATTTTGAATAGTGTTTTGCTAACAAAAGGAGAGACTTTTTCATGCGTATTTCTATTTCCTTTCATCTTGTTTTATCCTGCGTTATTTTTTTTTATTTTTTCCTTTTAACGGTAGCAGGTTTTTTTGAATAATTTTGTCATATATTCAGATGTCATTGTTTTTCGTGGGTTTTTCCTTTGTATTTTTATGTGGAGACGCATAATATATTTGAGAAGCTAACTGCTGAGATATTTTGACGTTTTTTGGTTATTTTTAAAGCTAAGTTTTTGTAATTTTGTTGTTAAAGTGACTAATTTCTAAATTGAAGTTTGTGTAAAGATTCACTATGGGGTGTTTGGATCGGGATTATTACTGAATGGTTCTTTGATAGGCAAGATGAATATCATGGTTATTTTTATTTTCGTTGCTTTTGTATTTAAATGGGGTGTTGATTACAATCTTCTCTTCTTTTACTTCCTGAATAAAGACCCATTCTGTTTGGACACACTGTCTCTGTGTGTTTTTCATTGTGAGTTTCAACATGAGGCAATGAGCAGGAATCAGTTTAGAGTGGAGCAGGTCTGTTTAGATTTGACAAATCCATTTACTTAAGATTTTAAACAAAAATGATCAAATTCACCCCTGAATCCTTAACAAATACATTGATTTGCATTTTGGTTTGCATTGTATTTTATTACACACTAACCTTTAAGCTTTAATTTACATTTGTTGCTGCAACTTCCTGCATACAGTAAATGTGCAATTAACCACAAATAAAGCTCTCCTGCAGGGAAGGCGTGGTGCTAGCAGAACCAACTTCAACTCCACCAGTCAGCGCCAACCAAGTTCAACTCAACCCAGTCCTGCATCATCTGCAGCACCATATTTAGGCCAATTGTCAGCATTTCTGAGCATTAAGAATGCTTAAGGTTAGTTTAAGTCAATTAGTCCATTGAGGTGCACAGTGAAGAAGCCTTTTCCGTTCCACATCTGGTTCTCTCTGTGGGACAGACATGATGGATCACTGTTTCCCTTTTTTTTTAAACATCTTTAAGTATTTGTGACACCCCTGATTGAATGGCATCCAGAGCAGTGAGCCAAAAAGTTAAAATCATTTGTCACAGTTTAATCAAGTTTCTTAAAGTTGAAAATTTTACTAAAACAGAATTGATTAAAAATTTATTATAAATATATATTTTTGTTTCTGATGGTTTTGCTGCTCTATTTAAATCAGTCACCTGTGAGTTAGAGGCAGTTTGTTCATTAGGTTTTATCTATATGATTTGGTTTATCTATTGTATTGGTTCAATTCATGCTGCCACATTTCAGATAACATAGTTCTAATATTAAAAAGCTTAACTGATAAAAATTAAAGAAGTTGAAATTGTTTTGTCCAAAAAGAATAGAAAATATACACTAATTAGCTAATTTCTTATACTACCTGGCAGGGGAGGAGCTAGATGGGGGGGCTAAGGGTGGCCATAAACTTTTCATGGTCTTAAAGTTTGGCTATACAATAATGAGACAATGTCCAGTTTTTTACCCATTTCTAAACTAAATTGCTTTCATCAGCAATAGTTTTCAGACGAAACATATTTTCGTACGTACAAACAGCTTGATATATTTTTCTGTAATATCTGAATCTCTAAGAGTAATGATCTGACTTTCCAGAGGCAGGCAGAGTTCTTACTTTCCAGAGGCTGGCAGAGTTCTGACTTTCCAGAGGCAGGCAGAGTTCTCATATTCCAGAGGCAGGCAGAGTTCTGACTTTCCAGAGGCAGGCAGAGTTCTCATATTCCAGAGGCAGGCAGAGTTCTGACTTTCCAGAGGCAGGAAGAGTTCTCACTTTCCAGAGGCAGGCAGAGTTCTGACTTTCCAGAGGCAGGAAGAGTTCTCACTTTCCAGAGGCAGGCAGAGTTCTCACTTTCCAGAGGCAGGCAGAGTTCTGACTTTCCAGAGGCAGGCAGAGTTCTCACTTTCCAGAGGCAGGCAGAGTTCTGACTTTCCAGAGGCAGGAAGAGTTCTCACTTTCCAGAGGCAGGCAGAGTTCTGACTTTCCAGAGGCAGGCAGAGTTCTCACTTTCCAGAGGCAGGCAGAGTTCTGACTTTCCAGAGGCAGGAAGAGTTCTCACTTTCCAGAGGCAGGCAGAGTTCTGACTTTCCAGAGGCAGGAAGAGTTCTCACTTTCCAGAGGCAGGCAGAGTTCTGACTTTCCAGAGGCAGGCAGAGTTCTCACTTTCCAGAGGCAGGCAGAGTTCTCACTTTCCAGAGGCAGGCAGAGTTCTCACTTTCCAGAGTTTGTCTATTAGGTTTTATCTATATGTTTTGGTTTATCTATTGTATTGGTTCAATTCATGCTACCACATTTCAGATAACATAGTTCTAATATTAAAAAGCTTAACTGATAAAAATTAAAGAAGTTGAAATTGTTTTGTCCAAAAAGAATAGAAAATATACAATAATTAGCTAATTTCTTATACCACCTGGCAGGGGAGGAGCTATATGGGGGGGCTAAGGGTGGCCATAAACAGACAGAGCCATAAACTTTTCATGGTCTTAAAGTTTGGCTATACAATAATGAGACAATGTCCAGTTTTTTACCCATTTCTAAAACTAAATTGCTTTCGTCAGCAATAGTTTTCAGACAAAACATATTTTCGTACGTACAAACAGCTTGATATATTTTTTCTGTAATATCTGAATCTCTAAGAGTAATGATCTTATCTAAAAACCTTGAAAAAATTTTCACAGCAAATTGTAACTTTTTGTCATTATATAATGACTCAAATCATGCATTCATATTGGTTATTATCTGTCTTTTCAGTATTTACCTTCTGTTGTTGTTGTGGAAATCTCTTGCAACATGCTGTAGCAACAGTGGAAAGGAAAACTCTCCTTCAACAGGAATACACCTTCAGCACACTGTTGCCAACTCTTAAGCAAGGAAAGTCACTATTGGGTGTCTCAAAAGATGAAGTAATCTCCAAATCTGCACATTTGGTAATAATTATCCAGCCTTAGGAAAGAGAAATATCAACATTGGCTAAACAGAAAGTGATTAAATGCACTCTACTTACATTTAAAACTGAAAACTAACTAATTAATGAATTAATTAATGAATGTGATCATTCATTAACACCTTACCTGAACCCAAATTACATAAATCAGTCTTATCAAATAAAGAAATTCAACTTAAAGGCAGTTTGCAGAGGTACAGGATGAGCCTCTTCAGGAATTAAATAAAGGGAGGGATGTATTTTAGTGAAACCATTCTAAAGGGAAAAAAAATTAAAGATTTACATAGTGTAAACACAGACATTTGTTGTCATTTTGTTTATTTTTTTAATAAATAATATAATATAAACAGGCAATATATGTATATATATATATATATATATATATATATATATATATATATATATATATATATATATATATATATATATATACATATATACATATATATATATATATATATATATACATATATATATATATATACATATATATATATATATATATATATATACATATATATATATATATATATATATATATATATATATATATATATATATATATATATATATATATATATATATATATATATATATATATACATATACAGGTGCTGGTCATAAAATTAGAATATCATGAAAAAGTAGATTGATTTTAGTAATTCCATTTAAAAAGTGAAACTTGTATATTATATTCATACATTACATACAAACTCATATATTTCAGATGTTTATTTTGTTTAATTTTGATGATTACAAATGACAACAAATGAAAATCTCAAATTCATCATATCAGAAAATTAGAATATTGTGAAAAGGTTCAAAATTGATGGCCCCTGGTGCCACACTCTAATCAGCTAATTAACTCAAACCACCTGCAAAAGCCTTTAAATGGTCTTTCAGTCTAGTTCTATAGGCTACACAATCATGGGGAAGACTGCTGACTTGACAGTTGTCCAAAAGACGACCATCGACACCTTGCACAAGGAGGGCAAGACACAAAAGGTCATCGCTAAAGAGGCTGGCTGTTCACAGAGCTCAGTGTCCAAGCACATTAATAGAGAGGCGAAGGGAAGGAAAAGATGTGGTCGAAAAAAGTGTACAAGCAAGAGAGATAACCGCACCCTGGAGAGGATTGTGAAACAAAACCCCTTCAAAAATGTGGGGGAGATTCACAAAGAGTGGACTGCAGCTGGAGTGAGTGCTTCAAGAACCACCACACACAGACGTATGAAAGACATGGGTTTCTGCTGTCGCATTCCTTGTGTCAAGCCACTCTTGAACCACAGACAGCGTCAGAAGCGTCTTGCCTGGGCTAAAGAGAAACAGGACTGGACTGCTGGTGAGTGGTCCAAAGTCATGTTCTCTGATGAAAGTAAATTTTGCATTTCCTTTGGAAATCAAGGTCCCAGAGTCTGGAGGAAAATAAGAGAGGCACTTCATCCACGTTGCTTGAAGTCCAGTGTAAAGTTTCCACAGTCAGTGATGGTTTGGGGTGCCATGTCATCTGCTGGTGTTGGTCCATTGTGTTTTCTGAGGTCCAGGGTCAACGCAGCCGCATACCAGGAAGTTTTAGAGCACTTCATGCTTCCTGCAGCTGACCAACTTTTTGGAGATGCAGATTTCATTTTCCAACAGGACTTGGCACCTGCACACAGTGCCAAAGCTACCAGTACCTGGTTGAAGGACCATGGTATCCCTGTTCTTAATTGGCAAGCAAACTCTCCTGACCTTAACCCCATAGAAAATCTATGGGGTATTGTGAAGAAGAAGATGCAATACACCAGACCCAACAATTCAGAAGAGCTAAAAGCCACTATTAGAGCAACCTGGGCTATCATAACACCTGAGCAGTGCCACAGACTGATCGACTCCATGCCACGCCGCATTGCTGCAGTAATACAGGCCAAAGGAGGCCCAACTAAATACTGAGTGCTGTACATGCTCATACTTTTCATGTTCATACTTTTCAGTTGGCCAACATTTCTATAAATCCTTTGTTTTTATTGGTCTTCAGTAATATTCTAATTTTCTGATATGATGAATTTGAGATTTTCATTTGTTGTCATTTGTAATCATCAAAATTAAACAAAATAAACATCTGAAATATATGAGTTTGTATGTAATGTATGAATATAATATACAAGTTTCACTTTTTAAATGGAATTACTGAAATCAATCTACTTTTTCATGATATTCTAATTTTATGACCAGCACCTGTATATATAATATATCATTACCATTCTTTAGATAGAGAATAACGTTTGGCGCCATCTAAAGGTAAACTGCGGTAGTGCATAAAGGTCCACACTAATGTCAACAAGTTGCACACTATTTTGCTCTCTTCTCGGTTTCACCTTATTGTACTGCATTTAGCCAACTGTGCGATGATTCTCATGTGACCAGTGGTGTCAAAAAACACATTTGTTACTTAAGTAGAAGTATAGATACTGCAGATTTAAAACACTCTAGTAAAAGTTGAAGTATCAACTTCACCTCTTTACTCAAGTAAAAGTGAAAAAGTATGTGCTCCAAAAACTACTTAAAGTATAAAAGTATAAAGTAACCTTAAAAGAAAACAGTCAGATGCCGTTATATGAATTGAAAGCTCAATTTTTCGACTATCTCAAAAATTTTCTGAGATAGGGCCAAGGATGACGGAGGTCTTGTTGGTCTCCGTCTCCCGATTCGCCCTCGCCCTCACCTTTCAGACATTTCAACATCTTTTTCTGAATCCCACATTGTAGCATGGCATAGACAATTCACGTTTGCAGTTTGAAAAACAACTGCTTGCTTCTGATGATAAATTCTTTTGGCGTCATCATAAATTTGATGAATACCTAACCAATGAGTGTTTGCGTTGTATGACATATGCAATTACACTAGTTTTCACTAGTTGTGGATGGCGCCAATGATCTGCATTGGATGGAGCACATGACGGGAAATAAATATTTATAAACATTAAACCGAAGCCAAGAGTAACGAGTAATGTTTGTTTTAAAAATGTAAGGAATAGAAAGTACAGATAATTGTTTGAAAATGTAATAAGTAGAAGTCAGAAGTAGGAAGAAAAATAAGTATTGGAGTAAAGTATAGATAGCTAAAAAGTGTACTTAAGTACAGTAACAAAGTATTTGTACTTCATAGCTTGACACCTCTGCATGTGACTCATCAGTCCTCTTCCATAACTCTGTGGACTTGATTACACATGCGTTCACTGGGTTTGACATGATCTAAGCTGTTTGCCTTGAGAAGTTTATGGAACAGAGAAAAGGGAGTGGATCAGGAGGAGGAGGGAAAGTTAGATGAACTGTGAGCCGCTGTCAGCAGCAGCAAAGCAGCAGAGTCCTGCACACCAAATGTGTGAGAGGAACATGTTGTCCGGGGGCTTGTGTCGTGGAAAAGGCTGGAATCAGAGCAGATAAGAGGCGGATATCTTCAAAGTGAAACACTGACCAGCAGTAGGGATGCACAGCTGCAGATTAAGGGGTAAGAAAATGTAAAATGCATGTATCCTTTGGACTCTGACTAGATGTTATTCATTTGGAAGGATGAGCAGCACAGGAATCCTTTGTATATGCATACTGATGTGGTGAAATATATAAACATGTTGCATGACAATTTGCAATAAGTTATTACTGCAATGAAATGTGTCTGATGTAGGGGGAAACTGTTTTTTTTATTTTTTATTTTTTTATTTCTTCCTCTATCTTCAATCAGGAATGGTTGACATCACATTTTAACAGTTAGAAACATCTTAAAGAAATTAAAGCAACCACATTTAATGTGACAAACACACACTTTTATATACAGTAGTCCTTTAAACTGAAATGAAAGTGTGTATTCTGATAATAGGAACTTCATTCCACCTTTTAGAAAAAAAGGGTCAGAAAATGTTGCAGTTGTTACATGACTTCATGGTGAGGGACACTCGTATTGGAAATAATCCACATGAATGACCCAGAGGTGCTGTTTAGGACATCCCTGCATGCGGGTTGGGGTGTAGAATCCATGTAAATGTGTAATGAAGGAGAAACAGCTCACTGTCTGTTTGAGGACTGCCAATGAAGTGATCGTTCCCTGTGGGCCTGACCCGAATGTTCCACTGACCAGAGACAAACAGCAGATGCACTGTATGCATTCTTACACCCACTACGGGAAATGTGCCAAAAGAAAAATGATGTGCATCCATCATATCTGCAAATGCCCTCTGCAAACACTGCTCACTGGAAAGTATTACTTGCTAAGTATATATCCAAATAGTGTGAGAATGTTCATCTGGAAAGTTCCTAGATGAATAGTTGATTTGACTGCACGGCTCCTGCGGGAAAGACATCCAAAGACGGGTCTCAGCCTTTTTCTGTGGGAAAGACTATTAAAATGTTCTAAAGAAGTCCCTTTGCCTCATGTTTGTAATCTCCTGACAGAAGTCACTCTGTGTGTGATGTCAGAGCTAGAAAATGTTTTGGCAAAAGAAAACTTGGAACAGATTTCTGTTTTGATTTCTCTCTCATGTAATCCTGGCTGGTTGAGAAGTATGTGAATGAAATATTAGCTGATAAAAGAATCACATCTGTGCTCATACTCCATTCAATAAAGACAAATGAAGCTCTTTTTATAAACGTTTTTATGCTTCCTGCCACCTTGACAAATCTAAACAAGGATTCAAACTGAACCTTATATCATTCCTTCATTTATCATCTGTATGCCATCTTTGAAGAACATTTTTAAGCATGTAAAGTGCCTCACAAGAGTATTTAAACCCCACTTTTTACATTTAGTCATGTTACACTGACAAACTTCTATCTGTTTTATCAGGATGTATAGAACAAACCACCACAAAGTAGGACAGAGTTTGTAATAACAAAGGAGAGGGATCAATTCCATTTTTCTTACATTTTTTTTAAACAAACCAATAACTGAAACAGCCTATAGAGAAAAGGATGGGGCACATATGCAAAACAATTATAAGCAATATAACAGAAGAATCCAGCATAGAAAAGTTACAAAAAATAAGAGCATATACTGATGGTATGTTGGAGAATGACATTGAATGCATTTGTGTTTATTAGGGGATAATCTGAAGCTGCAGAGGCAGAAGAAAAGTAAGGAGACTAAGGGAGGCAGACTGATTAACACAAATTGAGCTAAACTGAAGCACAAAGACAGCAGTAAACCAAGGCGGAAAGACTAACTGAGCTAAAAAATACAAAAAATAAATCAGAAATACTGTATATAGAAAATATACATAGAACAGAGCTGAAGAACAAAATAAGGGGCAAGGCACAAAGAAATTAACTAAAAAAGGAAATCTGGGGGGAAAAAATAAAGAAAGAAAACCAAAACACAAACATTGAAAACCAAAATCCATGACAATGTATGATTTCCTCTCTGCAAATGGAGGCGTTCTGTGAATAATTCCTGAAGACGAAGAAACACAGCAGACAGGTCAAGGATAAAAATGAATATGTAATCTTTAGGACTTAAATCTGCTGGAATAGTTGTAAGAACAAAGCAGAATCAGGCCAGGTACTTAAGGGTGTACAGCAACTGTGGAGAATGCAGTCTGGTCAATTTTGACCTTTTTGCTGATGCCAACAGTTGTGGAAAACGGAAATCAGAAATGGATGTTTACCTTCCCAGGAGCTATTGGAAAAGGATAGAAATAATAGGAATAATTATGGTTTAAAAAAAAAAAAGGGGAGTGGTGGCCTAGTGGTTAGGGCATAGAGCTTGGAATCCTGAGGTTCTGAGTCCGAGCCCCACTTCCAAAGACTGCCACTCTGGGTCCCTGAGCAAGACCATTAAGTACACACTGCTCACCGGGCAGAATGGAACCCAACTGCTCCCCAAAGGATGGGTTAAATGCAGAGGTAAATTTCTCCAATGTGAGGTCAATAAAGTCCAATTATTATTATAATTTGTATTCTTGAAGCCATGTGGGAAAGACAGTTACAGTGGTCTAAAGAAGTCCCTCTGCTTCATGTTTGTAATCTCCTGACAGAAGTCACTCTGTGTGTGATGTCATAGCTAGAAAATGTGCCAAACTCCCAATATATGTAGTTGAATGGGCAAGTATTTCAGTAGAAAACCTAAAATACTCTAAAAATACCCCAAATACTGCAAACACTATCTACACCACAGCTAAAGTTGGTTTCAGAAAGTATTGAAGTAGATACTAGAATAAAATGAATACAACATTTTTTACATTTGCTCCAGATCATGTTTTTACCATTTTTTTATTCATTTACCAATTTAAAAGGATAAACTATTTCTCGTCAACCAGTCAGCATGAATGAAATACCTTAAACTTCAGCACTCTACATGCTCCTAATATAACACTAACTTTCCCGAAATAAATTGTGTGATTCTGCAGATTTGAAGATGTGGGCATTCATGGGAGCGGTCTATCTTTGTCACTGTGCCACTGGGCAGCTGCTTGAGGCCAAGCTAAAAGGGACACCTCGACTTGTCTGCAGTGTCCCCGGGTCACCAGGCCCGCCCGGCAAACCAGGTCCCAGTGGGCCGCCAGGAGCAGATGGGAATGTTGGCATTCCAGGACGAGACGGCAGGGATGGTAGAAAGGGGGAAAAGGGAGAAAAGGGAGATACAGGTATGATATAATGAAATGAACTGACTCTTTATTTGACATACTATACATTTTAACGAAATAAAAAAGCTTAAAAACAGGTTTAAATCATCATACTTGTTTTGCTTTGAAAGATGCGTTACCATTCTGTGTGCAACAAGCTAAAAGTTTAGGGTTCATGAACTGAAGAGGTAATAAACCAACTTGTTTAAGAGAGGAAAAAATCATCCTCACACTTTAAAGGAACTAGCAGCAGGATGAGGAAATTAGACGAGTGACACACCTGGCGCTGCGGGGAACTGCAACCATCAGCCAACCCAGCAAGAGAGTATGCAGAAACACTTCACAGACAGGCAATTTTCACTGCACTGGTAATGCTGAAAGACCGTTTACTACATGAGGGTTAACTGTTAATATTTGCAGGTTCTATAACAGCAACAAACACAATGTCAAGCAAGTCTTCAGTCAAGCTCAGAACAATAGGAGCCAGTATTTAAGGTGGACAGTTTGACTTCTCAAACTTTTATTGGAAACAGAACCGTAGGGCGAAGCATCGGCGTCTAAAGCAGGAACCTCTGTGGGTGGAGACAGCAGGTTAGTGACCACATATTTCTGGAAGCGGATGATAACGATAACGATCACTAAGCTGGTCTTATAGTTCAGTCTGAGCCCAGAGGTTGAGGTTGGTTCCAGCTGATTGGCTGCCAAGGCAACGCAGCGGGCACCGCCCAGAGAGTCTCAGACGCTGATGTATCATTGTTGGGAGAAGAGGCAGGAGATCAGAACCGACCAGACGAAGGTAGACAAGATTATCCAGAGGGCGAAGCCAAAGCTGGTGTTGTTAACGTTCTTATGCAGAACAGAGTCAGGAAACAGTTCCAGGTTTGATTCCCAGACAGGCAGAGATCCGGCAGCAGTCCGAAGGACAAGTCAGGCAAACAGATCAGACGGGGACAGTCAGGCTCAGAGGTCGACAGGTAGAACAGGTCAGGGTCAGTATCAATCACAAAACCAAGAATGCTGGAGAACTCTCACCACCGGCTCCAAATAAACTGGCACTAATAACTGTGAGCAGACAGGTTAAATAGAGACTGAAACAGGTGGATCAGAATGAGAACTGGGCGGAGATAGGCAGGTAAGTGAAATGAGTAATTAAACCAGATATCAGTGCCAAGATCATATCAGTCTTCTGCTACTACTACTGAAATAAAACTTGACATCCTGTACCAAAACTGCTGGGTGCGCAGATGCAGCATCAATTTACATCACATCTGTAGGACTGCGGCAAATAAGCCCCCTAATCTCAGCATATTATGCAACATACAGTTCATTCAAGGCAATAGAAAAATACATGGGTTGGCTCGTTGGTTTTGGTTTTTAAGCTTCATCAACAAAATTGATGATGCATGTGTACATGTAGTCTTTCACGATTCCTGCCCCTAGTTCCTTTAAAAAGTTATCAGATATCAGTTACAGTTTATAACCAACCAAAAACACTAAAGCTACCCTGAATTTCACATATCTAAAGTCAGGGATAAAAAAACAAAACAAAGCAGTATCATGACACCTCCACTGCTATGCTACACAGTTAGCTTCATGCCCTTTCTAATAAAACTATCACCACTGTTAAATACCATGAACCAATTCTTTCAGACAAAGACTTAAGGTGATAACTACAGGTATATCTCCCCCTGGTAAGTAAATGGCACACCCTCTCCTGCCTGCTCCTTTTCTCTATGGTTTGTCGGCTGACTTTTGACATTTACAGTAACTTACATGTCAAAAATGAAAATGCCAATCTCTTTGTAGCTCCTGATCTCCTTTGCTTCCCTAAGTTGACATCAATGTTCAGAAGCCTGACCAATGTTCCCTCTGTTTTTTATTTATTTTTCATTTGTTTTCTTGGCCTGAAATTGAGAAATGTGACAGAATTGTAATCAAATTTAAATGTGTTATATACTTTGTACCCATTGCAACTTTTTTTTTCCTAGTAAAATGAATACATTTTTATTTTTGCTCCACTCTAGACTATTTGTGGTATTTTCCCTCCCAGTAATTGTTTCACACAAGCTGCACTTGATGCCAATCCAAGTTTCTCCCAATATTATTTGTAAATTTGATATATAAATATGAAACTTTCCGAACTTTGTCAGAGGTAATCAAAACTGCCAGTTGACTTCAGCATTTTATTGACAAGTCTTTTGACTGTTGTGTTTTTATGCACCGCTTGTGAGTTGAGCTGCAGTCCAACGTAATACTGGGTGTCTAATTAGCCAAGAGACAACTTTTGGAAGAAGCTAACCATGCAATGCAATTTTCAGGCATGCACCAGCAATCCCAAGCCCAGCAACTCTATATTTGTATTAAAGTAACACTGTACAGGTAGATAGAAAACAAGAGGCTTATTACAAATATATTACAATACTTCCCATTTAGAAAGGTAAATTAAAATCAATTTAAAGATTTAGATCTTAATGAAGGCTTGTGTGTTTAAATCAAAGTCATACTAAAATATTAGATTATTTGCGCGTGAATGGCTTATCTATTATGGAGATCAGATTCTATAAAAGTTAGAACCATTATATTTCACATGCATTTATTTTCTTAAGTATGCTTTACATGTGACCCTTACACAAAGGCTCTAATTTAGCTGCAAACCTAGAGCTTGCATTTCATACCAACATGAAATACCAAGATGTCAACACCTATGATGTCTGCAGCACAACAAATCTGTCGACGGTTAAAAAAAGGAAGAGGAAAAAAAGTCACGTGTTTATGTTTTCCATTATGTGTGAAAACATGAATTTCTGTCTAAGCCTTCCGGCCCTCTAAGCCTGCTCAAACATAAAGTGTTTCCATGCTCTGGGATATTTATTCTGGAAGGACCTGATTGGTTATTGGGCAGTGTTGACTGGAATCATGCCAACACTGTGCAGCTCAAATGTCTAGGTGGCTCCATTCCAGTGGTGACCTAATAAATGGAGTGGGCGTAGAGCTACAAATGAAACATCTAATAGAAGAGGAACATAATAAGGAATGAGAACATCATGGGAGCATGACGAAAACATCCACTCAGCCTTTGAACTTTTCACATGTTGCTACATTACGAGCACTAACTGTGGATGACTTTACTAAGATTTCACGTCCCTGATTGACAAAAAGTAGTGCATAAACTGTACAGTGGATGGTAAAATATACACCGTTTTCAATATTTCCAAAAGAAAAATCTAACCAGGAAACCCTCTTTCAGATTAAAAAACTCTTATACCAGAGAGTCATGCCTCAAGACAGACATAACCCGGAGGTTGAGGGTGGAGGAGGTGCAGATCCACTGCTAAGGTTGAATATTCTGCCAATGGGACATCTGTGTCATGCACTCCACAATTCAAGAATAAAGACATAATAAAAGAAATTGTAATGTCACTGTTGCAGTTTGCTTCCAATTGTTTTTTTTTTTTTTTGGGTTGACTAAGAGAGCTAGGCAGATTGGAAGGGGAGCTGTGTTGAGTCAAATACAAGGCAATAAAAGAGAGGCTAAACCAGTGGCGGCTGGTGAAAAATATTTTTGGTGGGGCTGATATAGCCTAGTGTATGTCTCCAACTAATCCGGAATAAGAATTCAAATAAACAATTGGACAATACATACAATTTAACAGTAATGATTTAATTTACTATATAATAACAGTAACAGTGATGATTTGGGTCACTGTGACGGGGTTCTTTGGCCTCCAAGAATCCAGGCTCAGTCGGGTTACCGGTGTTGGTGATTTATTGTGCTCAAAAACTCAAAACAGGGTGCAAAAGAAACTAAACATGTACAAGATACTCTGGGCCTCAACCTCCCTCCAGTTACCAGCAATGTAACAAAGAAACAGAAAACAAAAATTGTCGCTTTTCTTCCCACAGCCCTCATTAAATAGTTTAAGCCCCTACCCTCAGGCTCTCTTATTTCTGATTTCTTCTCATAAATCAGTTTTGTCCATATATTACCTCCACAAACAATTGATGTACAAAAACAAATAATTTTTACAACTTAATTCTTTTACACAGATTCATTGACTTATTCAATTACACCAAACTGGGTTTGAACCCAGCAAAGACGCAGCCAGACTGAAGATGACAAGTCCCCCATAGCATAAACACGTACACACACCCCCCAAACCCCCCCCACACACACACACACACACACACACACACGGCTAACCCCACTGAAATATTAAGTGTGCACCCTCAATACGCCAGCAGGTAACCAGGAACAGCTTGTGTGTTTTAAGTTAATGGACCTACTGGGCTCAGCGCGAGCGGATTGGTCCTCAAAAAACACAGTATAACAGGAATGTGTGTGTGACGCGCAAAGTTAGAGGATGTGGATTCGTCACAGTCACAATAACCATGACATGAAATTTTCCTATCCTACAACAGGGATGTTCTTCTGGCAAACGGGTAGATAAATAAGGATCTCACCGAATTTGGTGGAAGCTGCATCTCGTTCGTTACATTCGCCATCTTCCCTTTAATTGTCTGCACCTGCGCTTGGGTTCAGAAGCCTGTTAAAGCGCAGTATTTTCAGCGCCCCAAGACCATAAAGTTCTGAGATGCTGATTGGCCATTAAATTCACCTAGCAATAGTACATGATTGACAGATTCTCTGCAAATGTGGGTCTATCTGATCAGCGCCCCCAGAACAGAGACGGTAGGAGTCTGTCTGTGGAAATCCACAAATGAATGACAGTAGATAGGGAAATGTAGTTTATATAATTTGTTTTGCTTATATGTAAACACTCTAGAGAGTAAAACTGACATTTATGAGTTAATTTCTAAAAATATATTTTACGTTTCTCTCTTCTTATCAGGGAAGGCGGTGCCCCAGCGCCCCCTATGGGCCGGCCGCCACTGGGCTAAACTCATAGCCAAAGACTAAAGGTTCACACTAAAACTTGCAAAGATGGTAGAGAGACATTCAGGAAAGCTTGGTAGTTCTCAGTGGTATTACCGGTAAATTAGACAGAGATGAGTTCAACTGAATGCCACACATTTCAGATTTCTGTTTTTATTATGAATACATTGTATAGTTTTCTTTACCATTTCGACATTGGTCTATCATAGAATCCATTTAGCAAATATTGAGCTTGTAATGTCACCAAACGTTGAAAAGTTTAACCTCTCAAAACCCACCAGGACCCATTTTAAAGCTTTTACAACTAATAACTCAGAATGCATGAAAATTACACTGGTAAAATGTTTACCAATATAGACACTTCGTTGAAAAGCTTAGATTCTCCATTATTCATCCACCAAGTCCATTTTATGGACACAGTTAGCATCAGAGCACAATTAACACAGATATAACAGCATGTCAAAATGTAAACATGACAAAGCAACCACAACAATCAAGAATGTCTTTATTACTGTTGTTCAAAAAAGACCTATTATTTTCAAGAATAAAAAAAAACAACTTTGAGTCTTGTTTGAACTGATGCAGCTTGGGCTGTGTTTTACTCACCCAATTTTCATGTATATATTCAGAAACAAAGGCGTTAGCTTTCAAATATCACACATGTAATTTTGGCTTAGAGGTCCTAAGTTATTTGCTTTTCCATTTGGGTATGAAAAATAGGTCATTAGGTGGATGTTAAGAGGTTCAGTGTAAAGCTCTGTAACGCTGAAAAACTCTCATTTGACTTGTTTCTGTTTTAGGGGTAAAGGGCAGAGTTGGCCCAACAGGTAAAATTGGAGAGCGAGGTGAACGCGGCCCTGCTGGAAAACGAGGCCCCACAGGAGACGACGGAGAGGTGGGGCCCCCTGGCCCTCAGGGCCGAGATGGAGACAAGGGGGATAAAGGCGGGCGAGGACCCCGTGGAACAGCGGGAATCTGCAAATGTGGCAGCCTGCTACCCAAATCTGCATTCTCAGTGGGGATCACCAGCAGCTACCCAGCAGAGAAGGTGCCCATCAAGTTCGACAAGGTCCTCTTTAACGAAGGTGGACACTACAACCCGCAGACGGGCAAATTCATCTGTGCATACCCAGGCATTTATTACTTCTCCTATGACATCACACTGGCCAACAAACACCTGGCTATTAGTTTGGTGCAGAACGGTCAGTACCGCATTAAAACCTTTGATGCCAACACTGGAAACCATGACGTGGCGTCTGGGTCCACTGTGATGTTCCTGAACCCAGAGGATGAAGTGTGGATGGAGATCTTCTACACTGATCAGAACGGTTTATTCACAGACTCCAGCTGGGCCGACAGCTTGTTCTCTGGATTCCTGCTCTATGCAGACACAAACTACTTCGACACACTGGCAACGGACTATGCATAGAACTGGAAGAGCAAAGCAGAACCAAAAAAAGTGTGTTACTGTTATCATCACACATTCAGCACACCTTTGGGATGAAACAAAACATACCTGGACTGCCTTAAGAATAGAAAGGCATTCATTTAAGGCTGTTTTATTTGGTAAAGCTTTCAGTGATTTATATGATGTTGATTCAAAAATGATGTAAATAAACATTCCAGTCAATTTAAACTAGATTTTGTTAACTCATTTTGGAAAACACTATAATGTAAATCAAGGTTTTTTTGTTTTCACTGTTCAATGACCCTCTAATGTTTCCGATCATCAAGCAGTTTTATTTAATATGACAAGCCAACATGCATAAATATAAGAACAGTTTTTCTTATTTCCTAATTTCCTTTATTTAGGGGAAAAGCTTTTGGAAGGATTGTACAGTAAATAGCAGCTGCTTCCAAACCTAAAATTGTGCAGTACCATCCTTTAAAGGAACAGTCTTTTACAGAATAGTCACCCTATCTAAATAGAATAGTTTGTTCTGTCACGTTGGGTGGTTCTAGAGAATGGTCTATTTATCCCTCTGCAGAACACTCTAAAAACTTTATTCTATTGTTGTTTCGTTTTTAGCTACACATAGTGGGGGGCTTGCAGGTGTAATTTAAAGTACAACTCAGCTCATAATCTATGGATTATGAGGTAATGGATCAAAGTAAGATATTGTCCTTCTGGATTTTCAGTATCAATGCAGAATTTTTGCTTTAGACGTCAAAATCCTGGAGCTGCAAAGCATCTCCACAGTTACTGGTTCACTGTCTGTATGATGCTTCTTTAGAAAATACTTTTATTAGCTCTATGGCTGTGAGAAAACACTTTTTCTATTTGCTAAATTTAGCCCCTGCCTCAAAATATAATGATCAAAGTTATTTAGGGTAATCCTAACTGTTTTCAATAAATATGAGACAGGCCTTTTGTGCTCTTTTTTGTTTAGCAGTAATTTTGGTCTCAGAGGTCTTTTTTTTTTTTTGGCTTCGTTTCTCCTGGATCTGCAGCTTGGTGTCGCAAAGCCTGATATCTGCTTCTTGTTTCATGCAATTCAATCCAGCTTAGTTATACAGCACAAATAAACAATATTTCATGGCACTTAAGAAGTAAGTCAACATACACTTCAACTGATTCCTGTTATGAAAACAATGCAGCCATGTTCAATTCTGTCATGATTGTTTTAAGAGATCTGACCCCACATGCAGAGAACCACTCAGAGAACCAGGGAAAAAGTTAATCAGGTTTATTGAGGGAATGAGTACAGAAGTTGGATCTGGAACTCAGTGAACTGGTGAACCGGAACTGGAAAGTCTGGAGGGGAGATCACAGTGATCAGTTCAGGGACCGTAGGAAAGTTGACTGAAGCTTGAATACTGTTGGAGTGGGACTCACATTTTAGGGGGTTCTTGTTTGTCCTTGAATCCAGTCTGTGAGGTTTTATCCAGAGAAGAGGAAACCCGTTGGAGAGCGGACAGGTAGACACTCGTTGAACCTGGAGGAGCAATGGAGCGGGCTGTCCCTTGGATTTCCGAAAGGGACTTAAACGGCTCATGTGGATGTTTTCCCCTGCTCAGTGTGAACTCAGTTAATCCTTCCAGGGGGAGAAGGCCAGTCATCCGGTTACACAGGAAGGCTTCCTGCCAAAGAGCAAAGACAAAAAAAACAATGTAAGAATCAGAGAAACTAAGGCTCAGGTTAGACTCAGCTAATCTCAGCTTGGCTCGTCTCCAAAACTGGCAAACACCCTGGCGTCGAGGTAATGATAGCCCACTGCTCAAAATACTCCTCCAGATAATGATCCAACGAGCCGAAGGTGTGCAGGGAGGCCCAACGAGGTTGGGGCACCACCTGGTGGTGGAGAGAGAAAAACACACAAACAACCCACACAAACTGGATTCCTAACAAATTCCATTCAATTCAGTTTATTTATATAGCACCAATTCACAACCCATCATCTCAACGCACTTTACAGTTTATATTGAATATTTAAACAGAAATAATCAGCACACACTCGGCATAAGGATTTGGAAGCAAAGTTATTCACCAAATATGGGCATCATACAGAAAGCTTAAATAAAAAAAAAAACACAGGGTGGAAAACGGGAAGACACATGCAGATCGAATCTACTAATTAACCCAGGGCTGCGGCTGAGAGAGAAGTGAACAGGGATAAACAGGGAAAATGCTGTAAAAGAATTAAAATGAACTACCCACTAATTAAGAAAAACTCTCCAGAGAAAGTAGATTTAAAACAAACTAAAAACACTATAAAAATAAGCTAGGAAGCATCTAATAAACAGAAGTAGTATGGCAAGAACTTAAGAACCAAAAACAAGGCTGTAATATAACCTGCAGATCCTGATATATCACCACTAAAAACAGTGTTAATAGTTAATATTTTAATCTATAAAATAAAAAAAAATAAAAAATGGCTTTTTCTCACAATCCAAAAAACATGACAGTTTGACTGATTGGTGTCTGCAAATTTCATCTGAGTGTGAGTGTCTGTGCGTAGTAGTGTCTCCTCATTGTCTGCAAAGATCATCATTTACATAAATTCTCTAAATAGCAAGAGGAAGAGAAGTGCATTTTTAGTGTGCAAGTAAAGGATTGGACAGTGTTCACTCTACTTAAGTGCATTGTAAGTTTTTCCACCTAAACACATTTAATAACAGTGTATTAAATCAATATGACGATACTTGACAAAACACTTACAAAATCAGATTTTAGAAAGGCCATATTTTAGTATACTAGTTTTGAATCATACTTGAATATGTAATCTGACTGGAAGTATAATGAGTGTAATAATGTGATATAGCAAAACACTCAATACACTGCTGATGTGGAAGACGTGTGTCTCATCTCATTTTTGAGAGTGATCCAGTTAATCCAAATGTTTGGACAGAGGATCTTAGCAGATAACTTTAATATCTAAGGCTCAAAGTACGAGTTGAGAGATAGAAATAGTGTTAAAAAAAAAACAAAAAAAGGGGAGATACTGGTCATTTCAGTTCATTTAAGCTGTGCCATGTTGGCTGAGGACACAAAATCTCTTTTTGCCTTTGTAATGTTTCCGCTCTTTACTGTCTTTGGTTGTATCGTTTTTTTTATTTCTTAGTAAACTGAAGGGGGTTTCTTTTGTCTGTTGTTTTTGTTATCTTTCTCATTTCAGATATTTATAATGTGTTTTTTCTGTTATTTGCCAGTTTTTTTTTTTTTTTTTATCATTATTACTGTTAATTTAGGCTCATTTATAATGCTTACACCAGACAATGCTTTGGGAATACTAAGCAGTTTTGTGTTTTTCCTACTCTCTGGTCTAAGGGCATTTTTCGTGCTCTTTTTGTGTTCAAATATATAACTCTCGTTTTAATGTGACTTGCAAAACAGTTTTTCTTTTTGTTTGTTTTGTCTGTTTTAATCTTTTAGAGGTTATTCTTTCCAATAATATTGCCTGTTTTCTCTCCCTATATAGATAAAGAAGTCTTATTTTGTAGTTTTGCCCTTTCCTGTTATCATTTGTTTCTAATTTTTATTCTGAAGTTAAGAGGTAGATAAGGAAGATAAAAACAGATAAGGAAGATGGATGACATATTTATTAGAGGCCAATTGAGTAAAGAGGTCTGGGGCCAATTTAAAATAATAATGATAATATTAAAAAACCTTTTCCTCATAAGCATCTTCCCAAAAAATCACACAATGGTTAAAAGTGCAACAAAGAGACAAAAAAAATATTTACCTTTTACCTTTTATTTACCTTACCGTAATGGTCTACTGATTTTTTTTGATATGTATAACCAATAAATGCATTCTTTACTTCAAATTCTTATTTCTTTGTACCCACTACCATATTAGGATAAGTTGCTGTTTTGTGAACGTTTTAGTTACAGCTTTCACTATCTAATTAGTTATATATCAACATATGAATGGTAAAATTGCTCCCCCTGATTTTTAACTGGCTTATTTTGTTCAGAGGGAGAAATATTAGAGAGTAAGGTGGGACATTTGAGGGCCAGAAGTTATAAAACACAATCACAAAATTAAGTATTAAATATAAGGAAGCTATCATGCAGAATTGTAGGAAAACGTTTCTTTAAAATGGTAGGCTGAATTACCTTTAACTTTATACTTTAGGTAGTATTTAAAAATGGTAAGTTTACACTCTTAGTTGAGTAAAAGGCTGAAATTACTGCTCTAACTTCAACAAAAGTGTTTTTAAACAGTAGGAATTATACTACTTGAGTAATAAACAATCATACTTTTGACACCTCTATTAAAACTTTATAAAATTCAGCTTGGGTGACTTGGTTTGAATCTACTACAAAGAGATCTGGTGTTGTGAAATGTTTAAGTGAGCCAAAAATATAACATACAGACTCAAGAAAACTTTCCTGGTTCCTTAAGGTTCCTGTAATGGAAACCCATTCTTGTCGTCCTGACAGTAAGGATGTCCCTCCTCGCACACCGTAGTAGGAGGGTTGGTCTTGATTGGCATCTATCTGACCAATAAAAATCCTCGTCGCGAGGTAGTTTATGTCGTTACTAGGCAGCGTTAGCGGAGTTCCAGGCGTTAGCAAAAAAGCTAAAAGATAACTACTCATTTATTCACACACATACTGTTAGAAATTGAACCTTTTTTACGACAACTTACTAAATGTTGATGAAAGAAATGTCCGCTTCAAGGTAAACATTTCAACTACTCGGTTAATAAATTAATCTGTTAAGTAATTGAGTTTAACGTGCGTTTAATAAAAAAAAAAAAATAATTTCTGTTCAGAGAAATTCGAGAGAAACTACGAAAGAAACAAAGGGCTTTGCACGATACTTTGGTAAAAAATAAAAATGAGGACGACATCCAGGTAAGAATAGATAATCCTACAGTTTGTACAGTACTTAGTGGGCGTACGCAGCCGCTTCGGATGTTATCAGCCTATAAAATGGCCATTATTAGCGGTTATCTGGAGCTATTCTATCGGACATCGGCTAATTAATGGTTGATCACATCCGAATCGGCTGTATCCTGCACACTCATATTTCATTAAGAGGCCATACTTTCAGTGAGCTTTACTTTTAACAAGTCTTATCATAAATGGAAGGAGAAATCACAGCAAAACATAGGAGCTGCTCCTGTTTGATGAATCTAACTATACCCTATAGGCTCTGGTTCCGTCTGCCAACATCAATGTGGACAA